CATATCGATGAGAGTTTGATCAAACCAAGAATTCGCCGATCTACTCAATCGAATTTCGCATCTCTCGTAATTGTTGCTTTCTACTTTGCTATAGGTTCCGCTCCCATCCTTATTATGGGCTTGAAGTTACTTGGACGAGTATTCGACGGGTTAATAGCCTCACGCAATCTTTACTTAGAGCCAGTCTCATGGGAGCTGTTCTAGTTAGAACAGCATTTCAGTGGCACCTATGAGAACAACAATCTTCTGGCTCACAGAAATAGTTTCTTTGCATCTTTCATATAACTAGGAGCTGTGCTGTCGAAAGCGATGCTGGACTAATGTAACTTGTGTGGTTTTTCAAGATAACGGCGTCATTTGTCTAATTGGTAGCGAAGACTTGTCCGTATGGCCTTCGTTTTTACCATGCCTTACGTCTAAATACATTTATGGTTCTCTGTATCAACATGTTCTCATTGACCTCGCCTGGCTCCAATATCGTTCTATATCGCTTCTGTCGATCCCTATCTTCATATTCGCGTCGCGCTTTCGTTCCTTTTGTATCCGCGCTCACTGCGATGGATCTCAATCCGTCACGGGATTGTTTCAAATCTTCCTTGTATCTCGCTTCGTATAACTTGTTCTATGTCATGAGATGGCTATCAAAGCTGCAAGCCGCTTAAAGTACTCTTGTGTCAAATATTAGTCTTCACTTCGAATATTCTACGGTCTTATGTGATGGAACTCTGCCTTAATGTGTCATTGGTTCGAGGAAACTCAGAAGAGTCTTCTATACTCTTTACAACCAATTTTGGCTGTCATTCTTGTATGATCCGTGGAACAAAATATAACAATCATGAGTTTTTTGTATTGCTCCACGTGGCAGCTGCGGTCTCGTAAAGGCCATAAAGCCTTCTACGTGACCTAAGAATGAACTGCTCAGGAATTGGCTGAATTCCATCCTCACAATCGTTGAAATTCGTTGCTTCTACTTCCAAGCTACAATTTGCCTAGGCTTTTTGAAACATGTGACTATGAATGCAAGCAAACTTCCTCTGTTTCCTCCTTCGTTTAATGACTTAAGAACATTTTTTCCTTTTGTTCTTTACCCCAAGGTCTATAGAGATCGAAGCATGTCGTGTTTGGTGCTACCTCTGCTACTATCATGTTCAGATAGTTACTAAACTGAAAGCCTAGACAAATTCTTTCAGCATGCCTGCTTTCGTGCCGTTCCACTTGCTTGCCCTATCGAAGTTGTCCAGGGTGTCCGCGATATTTCATCTTACGTCGTTGGCTGCTGCATGCCGAAGTTCGTTTCGGAACTTTTTGAGAAAAAGAAATGCGCGGGAAAAATTGCGATTACGTTTTCTATGCTATTCTTCATTCGCATCTTACTGGCGACAACTCATGCGCGAGCACAGTAACTTGTTATCTACTTCTTCTCAAGTTTTCAATGTCATGAAGTCATCTCTATCTTCGATCAGGAACTTCATGTCGTATTGTTATTCCCGCTCTCCCTCTCCCTACAGCTGTCAGTGAAGACAGGTCGTCGCATGTACTGTCGTCACCAGCTCACACTCTAATTACCCACATAGGGTAATCGCGATTCGGCATCGCGCTCTCATAAGTCGCGCGCAATTTTCCCTTCCTCCCACACGCGAAAACCAATTAACTCTTTCAAAAACATTTCCTAACCATCTAGCACCAAACACTGTCGTCCTTGCTGTATTGGGAAACAATCTAGCAAAAACTGCAGCACGTCACCGGTTTATCTGTGAAATTCCATCTTCATTTGACGCATTGCGCAGAGGCAACGCGCCTCATTTGCCTTTCACGTCAGCTTCTTTTGTAAGCTTGAACCTGTGTGAATCACTTTTCCTTTGTGAAAATGTTCTACTTCACTGCAGCTAACCGAATGTCTTGATCCTTTCTTTCACTTATGTGTTTCTCATTGTTTATCTCATCCTCCTGACGTGACGCTATGCTTCCAAATTGGGCTTGTCATGGAAGTTGCAGCTCGCTTAAAACATGAATGATTATGGTGCCTTTAGAACGCTACCTGAACTCTGATAATTCTTAAGTCAAGATATGTGGTTCTTCAAAATTTCGAGCTAGATCAAAATCGATTATCAAATTTTCGCTGTGCTTATTTCAAGACCTTTAGCCATATTTGGTCTCGCAAGTACTGATTGTTTCTTTTTTTGATTTTTTTTCTGCTACACACCTGGAGTTCAATGATAGATCAACTCAAAAATGACTATAGAGATCGTAGATCTGCGCTTTTCTGACAAGTATTGTCATAGTATTCGAGCTCGCCTCAATTTGGCTTGTGAACACTGTGAAATCTGGGTATGATAAATGATTATCGCTGCTTGCAAAGTCTAGTATGGCATTGTGGCTAAGTCACGTTTTTCGCTCCCTAGGATATTAGGTCGTCCCGAAAGTTCTTGCGCACAATTTTCAAAAATTCATAACTTTTGATTTTTCCAACCGATTTACTGCTTTTATTTTTATGTGAAAGAGTAATTCGTAGTTTTTATAACGGCATCTTAGCTGCTTTCTAATGGTCATCTATTGCACGATAGGAGCGATAGAAGAAAATTAGTCAAAATTCAAATTTTTTGTGTAGGGTCATAAAAAATCGGAGACTTGCAATAAAAATCGGAGCAGTCGGTCTGTAGGTTCTTTCACTAGCTCTTTCTAACAATGCAAAGTTTGCACCGATTGAGCGTCTCTATGAAAAGTTATGATCTTCGTGCAAGCAGCTTATTTTGGCATTTTTCAGGAAATCGTAACTTTTTATAGAGATGCTATCCGCGCAAACTTTGCACTGTTAGAAAGAGCTGGTGAAAGAACCTACAATACCGACTGCTCCGATTTTTGTTGCGAGTCTCCGATTTTTTATGACCCTACACAGACAATTCGAATTATGACCAATTTTCTTCTATCGCTCCTATCTATGCAACTGATGATCATTAGTAAGCAGCTAAGATGCCATTATAAAGAGCATGAATTACTCTTTCACATAAAAATAAAAGCAGTCAAATCGGTTGGAAAAATCATCGGCGCAAGAACTTTCGGGACGACCTAATATATAAATGATCTTCTCATGCTATACCTCTGCCATCATCAAGAATACAAAAACATCAAATGTTTGCTTTTTCGTTCAGATTCATTTTTCGTTGACAAAATAAAATTTAGGACATGTAAGGACTGTACAATCTGAGGAAATGCCTATATTAGAAGCGCTTTCTTTCGTCAAAGTAGAACTTTGAGTGCAGTTCGCACTAGTTTACTGTGCTTACGCTGATCCCATTCTGATTGATTGCTGCTGGATTGTATATCCTTTACAGCCAAATTTCAAGTATGTATGCATCGCTTGGCTTTACTCTCTGAGATTACCTCGCATCAGTCCAAATTTCTGCGACAGAGTTACCGCATTCTCAACTGTTGATTCTTCTACTCCTAATCCTCTGAATACGGGTCAATTCATGATTGAATTAATAGCGTTACTCTTTGGTGTTAACTTTTTCATCCCTTACAGACCCTATTTGCTGTTTGTTCACATCTCCATATTTTTTATTGTTTCTTTTTTTATTTCTATTATTTGGATTGTGGGCTTACACACCTTTATTCTTCTTCATTCGCGGGTTTTCGCACATCTGCTTACGACTTCTCAAGCCCTACTTCATTTTTTGCGACTCTGAACCGAAAATGTTATCTATACCACTAAAACGGAATCAGCTCATGATGCATGCCTTAAGCTCATGGCTTGACAATTTCCTAGCTGTGTGTTTGTCTGAGCGAGTTCTTGTTAGAGTGAAGTTCTTGCTTTCATGCATTCCCCTGATTTGGTACACTATGCTACGAAGCAACCTTTCACTCATCAATCTTTATTTATTTATTTATTTGATGCACTCTAGGTGCGCCTAAACAAGGAACCGAGAACGGAAAGCTAGAACAGCACGACCAATCAAAAAATTAGTAAAATCGAAATAAAAAAAAATCTTCGCTCATTTCGAAAAATTCCCGTGGGTTAATAATTTTCTGCTAGTATTCTCTCACTTTACAAGTATCAGTTCGATTGAAGGTCGCCTCGTCAAGTCAGTCGAAATTTTGATGGCTACGAGAAATTTACTGTGGAAAGTGTAGTCTATTATAAGAAGTAATCTCACAAGGCATGGATGTTAATTGTGAACATGGTTTAGGCAACTCATTCAGCGCTGATGATTTTGATTACCTAATACTATATAGACTTTGTAAAGAGCGGGTATAAAACTCTTCATCATTTTGTTACCGCAGACAGATTGTAAATATGCTTTTCAAGATGCATTGTAAGTCCTTGCGCACGAAAAGTATCTCCTTAGTGAAAAGCTATTGTTGCAAGAATGTGACGAAGTTTCAGTGACAAGTATATTATCTGAAGTAGAAGTTATTTTGAAACACATCTATTTTGAACGTCTTTAAACTACGCAGAAGAAGCATAATCGTGTAGATTAGTTTTGCGCAGGTGACGAAACGTAATTGATGTAGCTCTGCGCCGAAGACAGTTAACAATGAAAGTAAATTTCTCACTTTTATGCGCAAGTTTTTGGGAATACATTCCAGCCTGATGGTTTTGGCATCATATTGAAGACAGTCACACTGTTAAAATTCTTTGCTTCTCGCGAATAAACTTTTCGACTTTACGAAAATCACATGTCTTCTCCTTCGCGCCTTCAAAAAAGTGCATTAAGGCAAGATGTACTGTAGAGGAATTTGTAGATATAATTAGCACATATAGTTGCTATGGTAATCTTCAACAAAATTTACAATTTTTATTTTCGGAATGATGCTTAGCAAAAGCCTATCTGTTATCTCTCTTGGCATCGAAACCAGCTTGATTTCCTTCTTTCTCTTGGGCGTTCTCATATGCATTACAAAAAGCAAATATTTTTCCATAATCTGTAATTGAGTTATCTTACTGATGGACATTCACGATTCTGCGTATATCTTTGAAATTCACTCAAAGTTTACAGTTTAGGCATGTGTTCCACAGATCCAAACCACATCGTAAAGGAAAGGATGTCATTCTTCGAGCACCTTTGCAAGGAGGAGGTGAGAGACGTTTGATGTGTTGTCATTGCTGATCCGCCTCTGTCCGACGACGTAAACGAGGATGAGGACTTGACAGGAGGCCTATTGATCCTCTATATCGGGAAGGAAGTAGCGTTCTATTGACAAGTTGTCGTAAACCTTGCGTAAATTGTAAATACTTGGAGTGATCAATAAAAATCGGACTGGATCTCGAGTTTGCAAGAGGATATCGCGTATCCTATATCAATGGGCGCCCCGTTTTCTCAAGACATTCGGGATGGAGATTAGGACTTCATGCCAACATCAAAAAACGTTTTAATCTAAAAAGAGTTGCAAGTGAGACATTCTGCAGAGAAGGAACGGATAAGATCGTGAATCATCTGAAAAAAGAAGGCAGCGTGCTTTGCGCTTCAAGTAAGAAAACAGCTGTCGGGTTTCAAGATGAACGAGTTACAGAAAAAGCTCGAGTTGCTCTAGAGTACTCATTTTACCGAAAGCCTTTGTGATTATGCTGAGCCGGTAATAATGTGAACTTTTCAATAATTCAATGAAACATAGTACTACAACAGGTGACGCATTTTGGTAGTAAATCTAGCAACTAGTTTTCAAAATATGTAAATCTGATGCCCCGTCAGGTTCCCAACACACACCCGCTCATTATGCTGTTTCGTCAGTTCGGTCCAGCTCTTACTTTTTTTCAAGTCTTTCCCTTGAAAACTAAATTCCATACTTGGCAACATTCCTGATTTCAGGTTAGATCGTTCACCCTCAGGCGTGTTCGTCCCTCATCGACAACGTCCTTACCCCAGTTAGTCCAATAATTTTCGTCTGTTCGTGCTCTCAGTTTTGTTTTTTTTTTCTTTTCAGATCTTCATCACTTCCTCCACCAAAGCCAAAACGCACCTTCATGCACACATCATTCACACCTCCGTCAGAGGTCAGTCGCACTATCTTTTCAGCATTTTTCATTTCATTGTTGCGATATAGGAATGCCCTTGATTGCTCGTTATTCTCTCGGAAAGGGCAAAGATTTTTGCATAAAGGATCAGTTTTTTCTGCAATAGAATGAGAGAATCTGAGAAATTTTCATCGTCGAAACTATATACATATAAATAGATATGATATAACCAAATGCCCGAATCATTGATATGAAAAGTTATGAGCAACGTAATAATGAGCAGACCTTCAAATAATTCATGATCGCCATGGACTGTTGTAGTGGTGGATGATGACAGTTTTATGCACCGAATAAGGTCTTCTTCGCCACCAAGGCCTCCAGGGTCTGTAGCCATAGCCTCCGTAGCTACCGTAACCAGGATAACCATAGCCTCCATAGCCTCCGTAACCTCCGAAACCCCCGTAAGGGGCATGGTAACCACCCATATAGCCCATATATGGTGATCCCCATTGTCTCTTCACTCTCTTGTTCTCCAGGCTAAAAAAGTGGATTCAAAAAAGGCTTTCCGCCATGTGATTCAGTAGAAAAATTCCACTTACGGGACGGCAGTAACAATCGCGATCGCAACGACGAGTAAGGCGATTAGTTGAATGTTCTTCATGGTAGATACTCTCGTGAACTGACGCCTGCTTCCAATTGTCGCTTCTTTTATATAATGAGCTAACGTACGATGTTCGGCGAGCGTGACCTGTGGAAGGTCGTTTCTATGGAAGGAACCGGCTCAGTGCTTTGATTTCATATGGGAATCCTCTTGCCCATTAAGTGACCGTGAAATCACCGATCGCATTGTACTTTTACATGACAGGTGCTAAGTTCACGACGGGGCACGCTGGACACAGATGCTCTATGACGTGATACGCTGAGGTGAAACTGTCTGTTTTGGTAAAGCTACTCATCATTTTCATCATTTCCTTTAACTACCCTGCAGCATAGTTCGACGCATTGTAAAGGAGACCCGTGTTTGAGGAGGTGGAATGATGTTTATCACTAACCGCTGCATTCATCATAAATGTAAGTAGGTATTGCGTTGCGATTTGCGCTTTCGAAAGGAATTGTTCCAGACGAACACGGTTGAGAAGGGCCATGCTAGTTGTGAAACCCAGTAACTGTTCGCTCACGCAAAGACGTGAGGGACATCTGACTCAAAAAAGCCTTCCCCAAAGCTTGCTTAGAATTTGCCATCCAAATCTGAACCCTATCTGGACGAAGAACAAGCGTTTGTTTTGGCTAATTAACACCTGGTTTGGCAATTTGCTGTAGGGCTAATGTAGCCAAGTAGCTTATCTTCCTGCTGGCTTTCCCATAATAATCGAGAGAAGCAATTTCTACAACAGCGATGTAAACTGCGACGTCTCATTTACGGCGAAGCAATTAATCCAGCGTAAAGCATGCAGTTATATAGAGCCATTTTGCAGATTTGCAAAGCAGTTTAGTATTTAAGGTGCAGGACTTCTTAAATGATGTAGATTCCGTTGAGAATGGGCATATTGTCTGTTTTTTTTCTGTGGTACGCCTCGAGCGTATTCAATGAAAATGAAGGTGAAAATGATGATAAAATGCTTTATTTTGAGGAACTCCTCTAGCTGCTTGCGCTTTTGTTAACCTTCTCAGTCAACGTGGCAAAAGCTAAGTATCTTCTGATGATCATAGTTTCTCATATCCACCGCGTTCTGTGACTTCAAGGCGCTGCTCGCAGATCCAGAACTGATATCGTTATTTTTTCACTGACGTGCTTAGAGGTGTAAAAGCAAAATTAGATGCTTATTTGTTCATGGCCAAAGTAAACTAACAAGGAAAGGATACTGTCTTAGATTTACCTTTTAAGATAAGATACAAATAGCTGATTTTGAATAGCTGTTCCTAGCTGCTTAGCATTATTCTAAAGCGAGTTATGGTCTCTTTTCTATGCAAAGTTTGCGTGCTCCTCGACCTATTGATGCTACGTTGTCGACGTCTAGGTGGTTTTGTAACTGTATAATGCTCCCTTTCTCCCTTTTAATATTGAGAGAATTACTCTGATGCTAGCGCAACATCCTAGCAACTTTCTTCGAGCAGATTCTTATCTACACGCCGTCTTACGACATTCAGAAGTTTCTTGATTACGCACAACAACAATCCCATAAATCGCTTCGGAATAATGCTAAGCAACTAAGAACAGCATATTTGGAATCAGCGTTCAAAGCTTATTCCAAACATATGTGTCTCATATCAAAAGGCGAATTTAAGTTGGTATCCTTCTTTTGTAAGTAGAGACCCTGATATGATCGTACGGGAAGTAGTAATTTGAAAGGGCAGTTTTGCAAAGGTAGCAAACAGTGCAAAAAAAGTAGCGCAGAAACGGGTTTCGGAAAATCGGAGATCGCTCAAAATGTAGGGTGTCGGTAGAGTTTGAAATGTACCGAAGACTTCTAAGTATTCATCGAGCACGACAACTTCGAGAAGGTACACGTGAATCATTTGTAAACTGCACTAATTATATTTATGTTGTGAAAACTATCCTGTAGCTTTAAAGATTACCTTCACGTTTGCTAAGCAACAGGTGAATTCAGCTATTCTAATTTTGAGATGATCCTTGATCTGAGGTTTGGAACCGCTTGAAACTTTCAACTTAATTGTGCCATGATCATAGGTTCAAAGTTTGATTTTAGTATTCAGCTTTAGGATAGCCTTTTAACCAAAGAGCATCAACGAAAACGTTGTTATTCAAAACAGTAAGCACAATTTTTAGAATTCCCTGGTTATACTGTAGAGTTATTTGCTGTTGGTGTCTTCAAATAGATACACAACATAACAAACACAATCCATTGCTTTTTGATGACCCAAACAAGGCTTCCTCTCCTGCATAACACATGACTTCTCTAGTCGTTTTTCTATATGTTCAAATCAGCATTTTTTAGTATTGTGCATCGAAAAAACTAGTGCTTCCTGATCTTTGAATTAAATCCTTTTTATCGCTCCTAGAATCTCATCAGTGCTTGAACCAATGAATGAATCAGGCCACTATAAATGCAGCAAGTTGGTGACGCTTCATAGTGTCCATAAATCTGTATGGGGAATTCACTTGAGAACTTGATTTGCACGATTTTTAGTCCAAAATTTATTACAGAATATACAATTAAAAACGTTGATAGATGTTATCTCCAAATTCATCCTCTGAAGACTGTTGTTTTTTGAATCACGGTAGGTGGGCCACCGAAGCCGCGTGGGCCGAAGGGGCGGCCGTATGGACCTCGGAAAGGTGGTGGTCCCCATTGCCGTTTCTCTCTGACTGGCTTGGCACTGAAAAAAAAGAGGTACTGTGGGCTTGGAATATCAACGCTGCGCCACTCAACAGAAATTCTATGCTTTGAAGTGCTGGTGGTGTACGGAAGTTACATTTTGCAAGCTTAAGTGAAGTTTACCTGATGAAGGAGGCCAAACAGGCAATGATAACAAGAAGAGCAGCAAGGAGTTTCATGGTAGACGATGTGGTGGGCGCTGAAAAACATTGTCTTATATACTCCAACTTTACGCAGTCGAACTTAGTAATCGAACTTTGCTTTGCTAACAACAACGCGAGAAAAAACCGGAGCGTGTACGGTAAACAACAGTTAATCATCAAGTAAGTATCAAACATTTGGTCTAGCATGGCGAGTACTTCATCTGTACTATCATCGGGCTTCTACGCGTCTTACACAGTTCACAAGATCGTGGCGTAGTTCGTGTTAGCTAAAATAATGAGATAGTGGCTGCTTTTTTTCGTGACGTAACAAAACCTTTCCGTCTATCTAGGAGAGGCAATCGTTAGTGTTCACGTAGAAGGCTGGGATCATCCCGCACATCTTTGCCTTTGTGGGCATGGGCAACAACGATAGTTTTGAATACGTATTCACGAGAATTACGCTAATTTCACGAGCATAGGGCGCACCTTTTCCAATTTTTTGAGCGAGCCGTTCAGCCCTCTTTATTTCGGAAAACGAGACTTATGCCGCCCGATACTCTCAGGCAATATGCAGCACTGTATATAGTAGTCCTCCGGCGTGTCTGTGCTGTTCGATTTTAGAAGAAAATTCTCCGCGTCCTATACTCGTGAAATTAAGGTATCTCAACAAACGTTCGCTGATCTAACGCTTGATATCACTTAGGTAGCGCCCATCCCTTATCACTTCATCCAATTCGAAACAAAACAAGGCATCACAGGTTTAGCATGGCTCGGATAAGGACGCTTGTGCCGTAGGCCTAAGGTATACCTCGCAAAATCCGCCAGATCCCCATCTCCACACGATCTGGCAAACTGCCAGATGCCCCAGATTTACCATGAACGGTGGACGTATAAAGTTTTGCTTACGAAAACGCGCTTACGACAAACTATGAACAATCGTCGCATTGTCAAATCTCCCAGCGAACGAAATCTCGAAAGATATGCCCTAGGCTTTAGGAACAAGTCATCGAACTGCTCAACACTTACATCTCATAATCTTCATGTTCAAAGTTGCTCATGCGTAAGGTAGATGTTAGGATGTAGCCAGTCTGTCTAGACCAATCCTTTCTTTTATTTCACGCAAAACTTAAAGTGTGACGGTCATGTTCGTTTAATCTTTGCTCAAACCAGTCACTTTCTCACGAAAATGTCTCGTGATTCTGGGTATAAATGCTCTCATCTGAGTGTGAAATGGCTTGATTAAAGCTGACACACCTATTTCTTTTCTCTCTTTTACTTCTTTCTTCGAACTAGTTCAGAGTTGGGTATTTCCTTTCATAATGCCGCTCTTATGTTAGTCATGTTTTCTGTCAGAGTCGTGAAGAAAATGACTTTTGAGAGCTTTGTTCTTTGTACATAGATAGTGCGAGCATACTTGGAAAGATTGTTTCGAGTTGTTTGTGGTTTAAGGAGCTCCCTTTGAACCGTAAGGCACCGATATAGCTCGAGCGATTCTGCTCGATCAGATCACAAATTGGCAATTCGCCAAATGTCCATAAATACACTTTTTACGAGTTGCAAATGCAAGCAGAGCTTTTGCGAGCTGATGTTATTATAATAAGTCTTGCTTAAATAAATTACAAAAGCGAAGAATTATGAATAGCCGTGGCAAATCGCGCAAGGTATGTTCGATGCAAGATGATAAAGCGACGATCGTGGAGTTCGTTTTCACTTTTGCCAAGCGTTCTTACTCTTCTGTCTTACTTCTAGCTCCTACTGTTATAATCCACATATGTACAAGATAATTATGCTTTTTAAGCAATTTGAAGCATTTAGTAAACATACAGAAGTGTTTTTCACGACTTTGGTTACAGAAAGAATGTACACTTTATTAGAAAATTATATGAGCATTGAGATATATCATTATATTCCCTTTTTAATGATAGTCACCGTCTTCTTTATAATCGTTGTCGGTCCTCTACTTCCATATGGTCTGGGATAGCGAGGATAATACGGGTAGGGCCCTCGTCCGGGATATGGTCCATACTGCCTTTTCTCCCTTACTGCTGCCGCACTGAAAAAGTTACTTTAGCGATCTTTTCGCTATAAGTTCCGAGGACACTTGAATTATGCTTTTCAAGTAAAGCGCCACTCAAGCATGAAAGACCATGCATTGCAAAACCTAACTGCTAAGTAAAGCAAACGAATATCTGAATTACCTGACAAAGTAGGTTGCACAAGCTAAAAGAACGATGAGAGCAGCTAACACTTTCATTGCAGAATTTGAGATTCGATTGTGGAAGTGTGAAAGGCAAAGCCTTATATAGTCTACTCGGCGCACTTCTCGCGTCACGATTCGGCCAATCTTCGTGATTGCTGAACTGATGCTCATAAAAAGTGGTATCACACCACAGCGGTCATATTGAATTTGATAAATTATGAATTGTCAAGCCTTGTATAATCAATACGCTGTCTTTCACACGGTGAAAAAACCGTTGAGACATGCACAATTTTTTCTGAGGTTGCGTGCATCTCCTTATGAAACGCGCGAAATGTTGATTATGAACTGAGAAAGGGAAGGCTTTGTTGATTAGCGTGGATGGAAGCTAATGTCATATGATGTGAAGAGAAGATTCTAGACAAATTCATTTAGACCTGCTTTCCTGGGTCGTTTATGCTTTTTGAGCCGTTCTCATTTAGATGAAGTTGTTACTACCATTGCTAGTCCGTTGTCTTCTCAACCAAAAGCATAACATAATTTTTACCCACTTTCTATTAGGTCTATAAAAGGATTCTTTGGTTACACAAGAAATTGAGGAACTGCCAAGCTTGTAACCATCCGTTATTCCTGTGAAGTGCTTTAATCTGTAGTTCACTTGTATGATCCTTAAAGATGCTCGAATTTTCTAATTGCCTGCACTATCCAAAAAAATCGGCCTTCTTACCCTTTTGGGTACACCAAGGATCAGAAAGAATCTATACTCAGAATCAGTTAAATTTTATATATCTTCGATAGGAAATATCGTGGAGGATTTCTATGCTACGCTTTCATGGATCATTTCTTTGATCATAATTCACGTTTACGAGGAAAAGTTCGTAAATGGCCTGGACTGCGAAACTTTTTGACACCCTATGTCTGAGTAGCTGATATCGCTGGATTCCACCCACCGAACTGAGTTGCCTTAGTAGAGGGGATCGTTTCGTTGTCAACTTGTACTTCAAAAAACAAATCTCAGTGATTGAGAACCCATAGATGTCATCAATGCTCTATTTCGGTATGCTTAAGCGTCCTAACCATAAAACGGTAGCTTCTGATCCAAGTAATCTAGGAGAGAGAGAGAGTCAGGCATCAAAGTAGTTGCTAGACTATCGTCAAACCTTTTTTTTTCCTTTCGAAAATTCCACAGAGTGCCTATGGTGCATGCCGTCGTAGGCATGGAAGATGCCATAACTTTTCCTATACGGCCGACAATCCTTCTTTTTTTCAGTTCACCTAGAATCACGGTAATGTGGAACTTCTTACCTAATTTCTCTTATGTAAAGTCTGATGACCGCCTTTGCTTTTTGCTTCCCTCATTATGTTCGACGATGTCTTACTAGAACCGTTAGGACAACTAGTCACGCTCCTTTGTTGCGTTTGCCGCCTTCTATGATTCATTTCGAATTTTTTCCTAACGTTTTCTACTCAAAGGAAGTTGATGGTGGCGAAAGGAATAGTGTCAGCTGATCAGGCTCTCCACCGAATAAGTGTAATTGGCGTATTCTCATGTTTGATTTCGTATTTTCTAGCCTAAATCATGAAAAATGAAATGCTCATAATATCTTTTTTAGTGATGGCTGAAAATTTGCTTGTTTTGTGTAACTCAGGGACCTCTATGAAACAGCACTAGCTAATCTTTCCACGGTCTGCTCCAAAGATTCTTTCCATTTCCCAGCAAAAAATTGAACCATATGGAAATGTTTTAGCACACTCCAACTGATAAGACTATAATTCACACTATTCGCGCAATAGTGTCCTTGACTTATCTTGTGTAACACGCGTTTGGTCAAGCAGTTCAGCGCCGCGAATCAAGCAGGTGAAGCATACTCCATGAAACTAATCACGAGTGCCTATCTTTTGTTCCGCGAATAAACGACCATAAATGTTAAATTGCCAAAAAACTTCAAAACTTTGGATCCACATCTCGGCGAATTGCTCAGTGGCTTGCAAATAAAAGAGCTCCTACTTCTCCTTTTAGCACAGATGCGTTAGGCCGTGCGCATACCCCACGCGATGTCAGTCGCCACGCAACAGATGTTCTCAAGCTCAGTGCTGGCAGACCAAATGTGTAACTTTCGTAGGTTGGTAAAATACCCGATTTTCCGTACATTCAAAAAGCCCTTACGATGAGTTATAATTTATTGGAGTATTGACAGATCTCGTCGCTACTGAAATTGCGAGGTATGCCCAGGGCCTTACTACGATCACTCGTTGGCACGATAAACTCATTCAGTGATAAATGAAAATTGATTTAACGCTCAGAGTTCAACAGTCATCTGCTTTTGGGCGCCCACGACATCTCAGACTTCCTTTGCACCTAACTATCAAAACTTGGTGTCACTCCTTTGCATCCACTCTGGTTTTCAAACTTCCCACGCTTACTCAAGAGAACTTTTAAGCGCGTCAGTCGTGCAGTAAATTGGTTTTAAGCAGTATAGGAATAATGAGAACACCGTATGTGCACAAAGACGGTTGGTGAGTTTATGTAGTGTATCAGTGGCGTACCGAGGGGGGGGGCGCCCCCCCCCCCCGAGTACGGGTCGCGAATTTTTTGAAGGTTACTTACATGGATTATAAAAATGTGCAAGTGACTTGTTTATTTTTGTAAACAATTAAAATAATTTTTGAAATTCTTTAAAAATTCAAATTAGCCTTATAAAAAAAATTTTCCAAATTTTAGGGGTTGGGGGCCCGCAAAAATTTTGAGAAGCCCCCCCCCCTAAAATTTTTTCGGTGTGCGTGGCTGACGCCACCCACCTTTATCTGGAAAAATTTTTGCCGCGCCCCCCACCCCCGAGCCGGAATCCTGGGTACGCCACTGTAGTGTACCTATTTCGAACTCTACGTGCTTGTTTGATTTCGCGCCTATCGTCGAAGAATCGATGCAGTTAACACATCGACGAGTCAAGGCCCGATTTTCGTTGAGACGGCTGCTATCTTGAGTCAAATCACTCCGGGAGTTTTTTTTTGTGCGCTGGATCTACAGAGCTCCTAAACTGCAGAGTCTTTTGCACCAGCGGTCGCGCAATCGCGTCGCGTCCGGGCATTTTGCCGGCGCCGGCGCCATCGATCGAGGCGGCGCCATTGATGCCCGGGCGCGACGCGGTCGCGCGACCGCTGGTGCAAACGACTCTGCAGTTTAGGAGCCCTGTGGATATAACCTCCACTGTTTTTGTTAGCCTCTCGGTGCTACTGTAGGTATACTGTAGATGGGACTGAGTGATTTTATCAAAAAACTTGAGTGCGTTCGTCCGTTGAAGGCCTTGGTCGTCAATGTGTTAAATTACTAGAACTTCGAGTGGAGAAATCCTTTTATATAAGTCACACTCTACCTATTATGTCTTCATTTGCTCTGGAAACCATGTTGACTATCATACAAAGCAGCTGGAGAGCGTTCGAACTTGGAAAATTTGACACTAATCGCGCACTTACATAGCGCCTAGATGGCAGTTCCGCTCGTCAAGTTGCAGTCGAGGGAGTTGGGTCTACCTTTGACTTCTCTCAATTATGTCTTCTGAATATGCATGATGCATCCACCACAATAGGTTATGACAGACAGTACAGAAACGTTCCTTTTAGAACACGTTCAATTGTTGTAGTAAGGCGCCGTCCACCCTAAGTTGGGAGTCTTGATCTTTTGGCAGCAGCATACAATAATAGAGCTCCCTATTAAGCCAATGCCCAAGCCCAACAGAGGACCCCTGGGCGGAAACGCCCCTCCAGTAATGCTCGCCCATCCGTGCGCGCCCATCCGATCCAGTTCCGCCCTCCCCGCGTCTCGGAACTTGGATTGTCGGGATTGTCACGGATTCTCGACTTCATATTAGAAATCAAAGGTATGGGAAGGCCTCGAAACGATGATAGTCGAGAGTCTGACGGACGACGCCTTTGAGGTTTGTAAATCATGTAGAGATCAGCGTATCTTTCCAGAGCAATTGTAATTGACCGTGCTTTGGAGGCAAGTACTCTAGAAGCATTTATCAAAGATCAAAGGTCATTCAGACAGGATTATCCCCGAGGAAATTTCAAGGTAAAGGGTCGACGTCGATTCCTGTCTTCGAATTCTGTTGATACATGCTGAGAAGCAATTCGAATTATTACGCCCTTGCATCGCAGCTCTAGCACCTCATTCAGAATTAGCGGGACCCTTCCAGAAAAATGCAAAGATTGTAACAGAATGCTCAAGTGAATAAGCTCCACTGTGCAATCGGATACACCCTTGCTGCATTGAAGTGAAAGGATATCTTGATTTTGCTTCAAGTGGCTCTTCAGGTGGAAAAGGTATCTCCGTGGGTCATAGAAGCATTTGGAAAAATTAACATAAGGATTGAAAAGGGATGTGGAACCTGTTCGAGATAATAAAATAGGTCTTTTCTTATCAAATACGGCAAAATACTAGATTCATGGTTGTGTGATCTCTAGAGGGTGACCTGAGGGACACCGCATCGGACCTGTGGGAACTATGCCTTTACATAATTTCACACAAACAATTTTCGGACCCGAATTCGCCGATTTATCTTGCTCCAAATTTCAAATAATTTGTTGTTTCTAATTCAATGCCTAGAGAGCTACATTGTATGTGCAAGTACTTTTGCAGTAAGGGTGCATTTCCTCCTTTTCACGACTCCTTCTGCTTTGATACAAATCAATTAGTAAAATTATCCCACCTAACATGAGATGTTAAGTCCAAGATTCTATTGTATAGTTTTAGATGAATGAAATACAATTGTGATATGAACTTTATTGAGTCGTTCATAAAGAAAAAGCACTTCATACAATTTTTAGACTCAGCCTCTGATGACGGTTGTTCTGACGACTGTTGTTGGTGGTGGTTGTCCTGAAATCGCTAGTATGAGGGAAATTTTGATGCATCATCGCATTTGAGAATTTTTTGATATGGGATATAGCTAGCTCACCGAATGGGCCTCGGTTGAAACCAAGTGCAGGGTTGGGCTGGCCCCATCCTCCTCGGAAACCTCCTGGACCATAACCCCAAGGCTGTCGGTTGAAGCCCTGTCCACCGTAGCGGTTGACAACGGTACGCTCAATGACTGTGCGTTGTCGCTTTGCTCGGATGGCACCGCTAGAATGGAACGAAGTAGGTTGGGGACCAAATAGTTTCATATCAATCTCTATGTTTGCATAGCTGGACATGGCTTACCTTACAGCGGCGATGGCAACGCATAGCAAGAAAAGGAGTGAGATAGCATTCATGACGAAGGTGTAATGCTCGTTTTTCTTGCGCGCTTTTATACGTAGCTAGATGGCCTTCAGTTAACACACATCAGTCGCATAGTTAGTTATCTGTTACCCATAAATCCTTGTTCGCTAAAACACTTTGTCCGCTGTAATCGCCGTTCGCAAGTTCATGCTTTTGAAGTCAGCTGGCTTCCGCATTGCGCCAAGGTTAATTCTTCGATGGTTATTACCGGTAACTGCAGAGATAGGTAATCTTTGCAAGCGACTCGATTTTCGACCAGTTTTCCTTCACACTTCTCTTTTGTGGTCCAAAATGAGATATGCTTGAAAACAATTCAAACAAGTTGGCAACATTACGACTGCGCTTGCAACCTTGAAATTTAATCGGAGCCTTGGCAAAGACGGGTCAGGCACGGCATTGTTGGCAGCGACGACATTAGCGCTAGACAGTCACGTGGAAAGTTTCTAAAGCTTAAAATATTCTTGTCATTCAGTGCAACAGGTAACCCTTTCCAAATGATGTCATGAGACCTTAGAAGATCTTCAAAATCACCAATCTGACATCATTTTTTGACCGCCATTTCTCAGCACCACACATCGCAGCAATTCGGTGAACTAGGTGGTCTGTTGCAGTTTGACTACTAGCGGGGTCAAAACTGGTATTGGTCATGTAATGACCCACACTAAAGGCGGAAGCCCAAGCAAGTAAATTTTTACTAACTTTTGAAATAGTAGTACCATTTTGTTGTTGATAGACCATCATTCTTTGGTTGCTCGCAAAATTCTGGAATTTAGTTCCACGGCATGTATGGCTTGTCTCAAACGAGTTTGTGAGAAAATCCACTTCAGTTTGAGCACTATGAGCCAGCTTCGAATCGCTGTAAATTCAAACAACTCAGGGAACGTTTGAAGACAGAGCTAGATGGAGTATGAATTCGTCTGAATGGTAACATACTAACCGGAATCGCTAGTAGATTAGAAAACGCTAATTACTTTTGCATTCATCGTTAATCGTTCGAAAGATGCCAGATTTTTTTTTGAGCATTTCTAATTTTTCGACACTTTTGAATAAAATAAATGATAGATGAATTCATGTACTAATTTTACCACTGAGAAGAAGCACAAAACTAGTCTATGTTAACGCCATGACTGAACCGTGACTATCCAATTTCATTACTGAAAATCTTTGGTATGATCCCAGCAAAGTGCCTCAAATTCCATACACCATAATCAATGGATTTTACTATCTTCATCCTCTAAAATAAGAGAAATCAAATGCATTCCTTTTGCCATAACTCAACCGCAAGTTGTATTGCTGTTATTGATGAAGAAAAGAATGAAGCTATTGTTTACTAAATCACCGACAATTGCGCCTTCACAAATCACAAAATCGGGTCAAGAAGTTTTTACTACGGGAAATGATTCGGGCAGCGATTCATCATAAATGTCGTGTTTGGTCCAAATCAACATGTATATCTGCGACATTTTGCTTTAGAAACTGCGTAAAACCGAGGGCACTGATACTCGGTGCATATTGAGAGACATCGATATAGAGGTATATACGGTTGAGGGATGGTGAGCTTTTAGAGCGTTATGACAGCTAGACCTTCAATAAATGAGTGCCCAAGTCTGGCTGCAAAAGGCGGACTTTATAGCGAAAAAATCGTTTGGGAAGGTATTGCGGATCTCTGATTCCGACGATGACAAATTTGCGACTTCTCAGACTACTCTGAATCCAGTTCCGGAGTCTTGAATTCAAACTATCCACATGGATGAGCGAGACAGACAGGTTCATATCTTCTTGAGAGCTTCTTGTTTGTGAATCCCAATCCGGAGCGGGACTTGTGCATTTACTTAATCAGAGCGTACAATAATTTCTCGCTCTTATTGAAGGCTATATCAGCAAGCTCCAGGCTCCTCAGTACCGCAAAGCAAATGATGCAGTATTCGTAAGAATAGTCGAAATTCGTTTTTTGTCAAGCTGTGTCATTTTACAACCTATTTGCAAACAAATTACATAAAAATAGCCGGGACCAAACTCAGGATGAGTTTGCATAATCTTGCCTGTTAAAGTGATGAAGATAACATGTTGCACGTACAATTAAACCGTAAATAAAAAGTAGGAAAAACTTCCTGCCATCTATAAGCTCTTCGAAATACATTGGTACTATGAGAACCACAAAGAAGTAAATGCCCGTATGTAAACATCGAGGATGTTTGGTTAGATCTGCTGACTTTTTATGAATGTGCTATTTTAGGTACAAAAGAGAAATGGGGGCCACTTATCTGATGGGAAATTATTCTCATCAACGAACCCTACCATGTCAAACACTTACGATGTGCCTATTGTTGAGGTCAGTGTTTTACCGATTATTCCAGAAGTTTCTTGCATCCATGGAGGAAACCCATTAAGACTTGCACTTGATTGTTGAGTTATCTTTTCAGCGTTGGGAAAGTGTTTGAGACTAAATCGAGAACTAGTCTGTTTGTGTTTTTGCTGCGTCAGAAATCTCCCGAGATACTTCTGCTTAGATTTTTTGAAATATTACAAAATACGCACCACTTGAAACTCCAATAGTCATTCTATATCTTTAAGGTTTTGCGGTTAGTTTCAATTTGTCTCTGATGAAATTGCTTCAAAACCCACACTTCGAAGAAACTTTGGATCAGCACAAATTACCCTTACAAGTCAATAAGGTGGACCATTAAATGTAGCCAAAAATAAATCTTAATTTTATTAGAACTCATGACATGTTTCCGATCGAGTCGTGGAGGCACTATTAAGGTGAACTTCTTCATTTAATTTTAAAATGCCTGCGTAATCGCATCATTCAAACTTTTTGATTTGACCAAACAAAGATTAGTCACAATTTTTGTTCCCTGCCAAGTTCCTCCTTCCAAAGTCTTCATATGTGTAATCCATAGAAATCAGCAAATACTATCAAATCAATACAAAACGACCAATTTTGATTAGGTCAATAATACCTGAGAAGTATAAAGTTTGTATCAATCACGCACACCCTTTTGCGTGGGATCTACGCATCCGCAACGCGATGGTCTTGCGTATGATGAATCATTGGATCGATGAGGTCAATTTGAATGGCCAAAGCATATACGCGCGAACATGGCGCGAACCTCTGGCTGGCGATCGGCCGATGGAAAGGGGTATGTCATTGACACAGGCTGTTACTACGGGAAATTTTTTTTTTGTGAGCCCTCCGTGCGTCTGTGCAAAGCACGCTGTAAGCCTTGCATCTTTCGCATTTGAAATGCTCAGACAAGTTTGAGGACGTTTTCTTATTCGCGATTATTGACAAGATTTCAGACTGCTCGATCGAATTTGTTTGCACCGAAACACGAACCTGTTGCCTACTACGCGTCCGTACCCATCGAACGAGCTGCGTCTGCATCTGCGGATTTACCGACGACGTTAGCGCCCGACGCGAGTGCCTCGGTTCCATCGCCGTGTAAACTCTCGCGAACGCCTGGATTCAAGTGAGTTGCATTGTTCAAAAAAAATTGTGTAGGCCCGAATGTTATCTATTATGGCGGGGAGTGGTCGAAGCTTTTCCCATTTCCAACAGCTTAACATGTATTGTCATGGTGTTATGTTCTACCAATGCGACTTTGCGATGAATGCAAAAATAAAGATAAATGAGCCAGAAAATCTCGTTAGGCGCTTGTAGATCATGCTATTTTATCTTGAGGGAGATTTCGGTTGATTCTTCGTTACCTTGTAATGTACTGAAACTTCCAAAACTATTCATAACCTCTTGACCAGTGTCCAATCAGCTCCGATAGGAAATTTTTGGATTCGCGAGACGCAAATATTGTACTAAGTACGAATGGCCTGATATGTTCTCCTGTTCTTCCAAACGAGCAAGAAATGTGTAAAGGATAGCACTAATGCGATTTCTTCCCTTGAAAACGTTTTGTCGATTAGTGTAAACTCACTGTGTGCGAGGTTTTTTCAAGGTTTGTGGCTAATTTAAGCCTACATTCGTGCATTAGCTCAGCAAATCAGCGCTTTGACTTTTTCTTGCCGTAATGTGAAGTTCAGCATAAGCTCTTCAGAAAAATGAAGCAGATCCTCGAATACACTCTTTCTCGATTCGTCGAGTTGAATTATCAGTAACTACTAGAAACATTTATCTTTAAGTGAGTGGTTTTTAGCTAATCCAGTCTATGTGCCATATCGAAGAATTTTGCCGACGTATGTTTGACTCGATCCCCCTACTCCCCCTGGTTGTCTGCGCCTTTCTGCCTGATCAAATAAAGTTTTTGATTTTCCGCCGCTTGAATCCGCACACTCAACAGTCTCTGTTGCGGGATTTGCAGAAATCTAGAATGTTTATGAAAGTCTGCCAGCCTACAGAACCGATCCTCTTACGTTTTGACTGCACATATTTCTGAACGTCTGCTTTACTCTCGTACTCTTTTCTTTCCCAAGGAATCAGGTTTTTACAAATTTCTTTCCTTGCACTCTCTGATGAGTGTTTTCGAAGTAGAGTGAAGTAAAATTTCACTGATGGAGTTGTCCTGAATAATTTTGATTAGAAAGACATAGAGGACATTTTTCAACATACGAGTTACAAATTGCTGCGACTATAGTGCTAGCTCATTTAGCCAACTCCGACCCATATCAGTTGTCAGACACGAGCGTATGTCTGCTTTGTTCTGTCGTAGTTCAGCACTCTCTATTTATTTGCACCTACTGCTGAGTTTTGAAGATGTAGCCAAGACCAATAATCTATTTACTCCAAATATCCCTCTTATATTCCCCACTCAAATAATGACTTCGTCATGGATCCTTTTTTCGTTATTACATTCGATTGACTCTAAGCTCTCTGGAATATGGGCGGTTTCAAGTGTATTATTCCTCGAACGCAAAGTTTATCTAATCATAAGAAATGTCAGTTCGTTTGCTGTGGAAACTATCTAGCTTTCAGATGCAGATTATGACAATTTTGATTTTATTATCTATTATCATTACATAGTGCACTTTTACTTTGTACAACTTAACCAAGAGAAGAGTTTGGTCTTCATTCATACATGCACCATTTAGCTATGTAAATTGCGTAACTTTGACCTAATGACACAGAAAGTTGGGAAGTAAAAGAACTACCAAAGTTCAAAATCCTGTCAATCCATATTGATTTTGGCAGTTTCTTACTATCTCATAGGATTTGCCGAAATTGATAGAAAAAACATGTGCATTGCAATAGCTTTTTGAGATCTCTCTACTACAAGAGTTACGACTGAAAATGTAATTTTCGAGAATGTTGATAAAATTGTTGATTTTGCTGTTGTTTATCGTGAGCGCAAGAATCGTAGTCCTTCATAAGTTTGATCAGCACAAACTTTAGTGACTTAGGCCCGTATGCACGTACATCCCCGCGGGGAGGAGAGGGGATCTGAGAGGGGAAGCGTCATATCTCGCTAGTCTACATATCTTTCTCCTTCTTTCTCTATCTTGCTTATGAAGTTTGTCATACACTGATACCTGCGCATAACGGATGCCAGGTTACTACTATACAAGATTAGATATTCGCTATCCCCAGGGGATCAGACGAGATAGTGAATATCTAGTCTTATATGGCAGTAACCTGACATCCGTTATGCGCAAGTATCAGTGTATGAAAACCTTCAAAAGCAAGACAGAGAAAGAAGGAGAAAGATATATAGAGTAGCGAGATATGACGCTTCCCCTCTCAGATCCCCTCCCCTCCCCGCGGGGATGTACATACGGGCCTTAGGGCCGCATGCACTAACAACCCCGCTGGCGAGGGGACGCAGCTCAGAAGAAAGCTTCATATTATGAAGCTCCAGATATCTAGATTTCACGCTGTCTACCTGTCCGCAAGTATTCCTACTATCCTTCACTATGAACATATTGAACAGAAGCGAGAAACTGTACAAGCCGCATTTTCCAGCTTTTGTATGATCCCTGACGATCCCCGGCGCTTTTCTTTAAAGTCATTTTTCTATTTTTGAAGTTAACGAAAACCTTTCAAAGTTGTACTAATTATCTAACACAACAGTGCTAAGCATGTTACTGATGAGAACAAATGAGTTTTTGAAAAATCGAATTTTTCGTTAAACCACAACTTTCGACCTGTGGTTCATCGCTAATTTCATGACTCTGATACATCACTTGTTCTTATCAGCAACATGCCTAGCACTGTCGGGTTGGATAATCTGCACAACTTTGGAGGTTTTTTGTTGACTTCGGAGAAAGAAAAATGACTTGAAAGAAAACCACCGGGGATCATCAGGGATCATACAAAAGCTGGAAAATGCGGTTCGTACAGCTTCTCGCTCCTCTTCAACATGTTCATAGTGAAGGGTAGTAGGAATACTTACGGATAGGTACACAACGTGAAATCCAGCTATCTGGAGTTTCGAAATATAAAGCTTTCTTTTAAGCTGCGATCCCCTCCCCGCGTGGATGTTAGTGCATGCGGCCCTTAGAAGGACTAGATCACGATCTCTATGTATGTTACTGGTAATGTCGGAATTTACTGCAACGTTCCAGATTTCTGGCGACCATTGAGTAAAGCACGGGTGATCATTATATTCATTTTTGTCTTCGGTTAATGGTCGGTGGAATATCTCCAAAGGTCACGGTAAAGCACATGTTTTTCTCTTTCCAAGATTAATGACAAACAGAACCATCAATTAGGTAAAAAAGCACGAATTCTCAAAATGAGAGTACAGATTAGAACAATTTAACATGCAGCAATGGATTATTACAAGTATCAAACTTTATTAAGCAAGGATGATTGCCTTTGAAGATGTTTCAGCTCCTCTCCGATTGTCTTCTTTTGCATGTTTATTGTTTACTCTTTTGTAACTTCCTCTACGTTGTGGGATCCGCTCTCTAAACGTTTTCTACAAAATAAGTACCTTAATGCGCTTGTCTAGCCTAGATCCCCTATTTCATACTATAATCCTTCTAACCATCTTTTCGAGATATGTATTATCTCAAGCACTTGCACTTACTGAATGGAAATGATAGCTCTTCTCGACGTACTAGTCAGAAACCGCGCTAGCAATCAACCGTTCTATAGAAGTGCATAGCTGTCTTCATTGGCCATTCAATTGAAAAAGTGCTGAAAGAGCCGTACTTGTTTGTGAACATAACTTCTCATATTCTCTGCAGCCACCTCCTCTATCATTCAATGTTGATTTAGCATACATGGCACACGCCGAATGACTAAACGTATGCCCTTGATCGAGTGCTATTGTTCGGCTTGACAAAGTTTGAAGGATGAAACAACCTCTTGTCTCTCCTACTATCTCATCCTCAATTCTCCCCTCCCCCCCCCCCCCCGCTCCCTCTTGACTGTCAGATAAACACAATCGATCTTGTACGCTATAAGTTTTGGTTTTGCTTTACACTTTGGCAAGTGCAACAGTACGATAGGTGTACTTATTTCCAAACGCCAATTTTCGTTGAATATCGTTGACATTTTGTCACGCTTGACGTCAGACGCTTCCATGGCCATCATTTTCCATGCGATCATTCAATTCCATCTGGTGTACATACACATTTCTCTTATCGTGCATATGCGACTCCGGCGCGTCTCCGGCCTCGTCGATCTGACAATGCCATTCATCGCTCTTGTACAGCAGGATTTGCAACATCGTTGCAGTGGCTGGTTTGCTTCATTATAATCAGCCTAGGGGACGAATGTCTGCTATTCCCAATTTGAAAAACTTTCTTGAAAGCTAGCCGAGGGTTTCGGGTTCAATCGATGCTTTAAAACTGATCGATTGGATCCTAAATGGAGGCCGAGAGGAGAGCGGGCGTTTTTTCCTCTTTGTATGCACTAGCATCCACCCTTGTGTGCAATCGGTACAGCACGTCGCCAACGAGCGCTTTGTCCCCCTTCGACTTTCACTTTTGTGCCGATCCTCTTTTTTCAAAGAGATCTGGCTGCTTTCTGGTACTCTACATGACTAGAATGTCCTGGTATCAACGTTTAGACTCTTCGCGCTCTTTTCCTGCAAAGATGTTATCTGTCAGCGTTGCATTGTTTGCTTTTCTACTTTTTCGAGCACTAATAACTTGAACAAATCATAACCTTCCTTTCTTTTATTCTTTGTGGAACTTGAATCCCTTTAGAACTGTAACCCTTATAAATTCTGAGTATGCCTTCTTCACTATTCGCTATGTTCTATAAATTTTCCGCCAACTATTTGTGAACCGAATTAGGTTTTTGTATTTCCTTAAAACTTATGACTCACATCCTCGGCAGATGAGGTTATTTCCGAGTTGATTGTGTGGGCAATTATCTAACAATCTTTCACAATTTTGGGATTTTCATAAAATAACAATAAGCGTTTGAAGGCAATTCCAGTGACTGAGAACACATCCATTTTTTCAAAATTTTTGTCCTTGGTAAAGCTGTTGATCTCAGAAAAATATTTTTGTTTTTTCGCCATGTTCGTCAGCACATCAGACACTACCACGCCCTTGTTTTTCAAGTACTTTTGTACTAGCTGGTCATTGAATCCCTTCGTCATTCTATTCGTATCCTATACTCATTAGACACCTACTCAGAACGTACTTATGTAATCCATCCCTGTTTTCGGATTTCCAGCTAATCATCTGAATATACTAATTGTGTGGCTATCGAGCTGTTGTAATAGCTGAAGTTGTTTCTACAACGGCTGTTCTATAGTGTGACTGCATTTAATGCGAAGACATTAATGATAATTTCAAAAAAAGTAGTGAATCAGCCTAACTCGCAGAGTTTCAGACGGTTGTTGTGCAATTTTTCTAAAATTTTCACACAATTTTTATGCCATTTCATGTATATTTCTGGATATGCAAATATTGCAGAGCAAAACTCCGTACACCCAAAGGAAGACGATCTGGCGATTGTAGCAGAGAAGCGGACGAGGAGGTGTGTGCTTCGCATAGTGATACGCCGAAAATCGATTTCGCGGTTTTACGGAGGAGAGTTCTAGTTCCAGATTGTGACAAAGTCGCTACAAAAGCAAAAGGCCCGTGCTCGACATTTTCGGCGTCGAACTTTGGAGGAACGGGACAAGTACATGGCCGCCATGTGCGGCAATTCGCCGCAGCTCTTCGAGTCCGTGCTCATCGTTTCGCTTGAGTAAGTACAGCACAGCATTCTTCCAGTAATGGCTCAAAATTCTTCCATTTTTGAAGGCCTGAAAGCTGTGGGGATGGTGAGAAGAAGACGAGAAAACCGACGATCACCTATCGATTTCCTGAAGACAAGAATGGTTTGTGAAGTAATCTTGTTGATTTATGGCTTATGACGCAGTTTCTTCCGTTATCAGTGTTTTTTCCTTCTTCGTCATTCATTGCTCATCTTGTTGGTGAAAACATGCATGAGTGGTATTGCGAAATTTTATACCTCAAAACATGTTCTTGACAAGGTTGAAGTGAAAATCTGATTTCAATTTGCAAATATGCAGTGAAAAGAAAGTTTTAAAGTGTCTTTTCGTAGAAAGTTCCGTATTTATCGCCCGAAACGTTTCCTCCCAGATGTATCGAATTTTCTGCATATGTGGCACAGAAATTTGCATGCACTTATTCAGCTATACGTCTTACTACAAAACTTTTCACATTCGATATGTCAACAGTGTACCGCAACAAATTAGAGCAAAATTATAAAACCGCAAATTAGGATGACCGCGCTTTTGAAAAGAATTTGAAAAACAAAGTTATGCACTTAGCAGTGACAGTAGAGCACGTTTGCTGTTATTGTTCGCATGCCGAAAGGCAGTCTAGGCAAATTTAGCTGGATACATGTATGGTATATCTTTTGTGGAAACTGAGAGGCCTCAACTAAGTTGCTGCTGCTGTGGCTAAGAATCTCGGTTTCAAACTTTCGCCCAGACCGTGTTCTACTCCTCATATCAAAGATGCTGGATGGTTTGCTTTGAAAGAGTACGGTCTGTTCGAGAGTCAAAAACCTTTTCCACCCTCGCAAAAATCATATGAGCTGTCATTTGGGCAACGACTTGCTGAGGCTTCTCAGCCAGTTTACTCTTAAAATTCATCCGGATTGCTTAGGTACTGCCAGTTCTCAGCAATGTCTAGAGAAGAAGATTAAAGTGGCATCGCAAAAATCATATGAGCTGTCACTTGGGCAACGACTTGCTGAGGCTTCTCAGCCAGTTTACTCTTAAAATTCATCCGGATTGCTTAGGTACTGCCAGTTCTCAGCAGTGTCTAGAGAAGAAGATTAAAGTGGCGTCTATCTTAAGTGGGCCTAGTGTATGGCAAAAACCTTTACGAACTGATGTCAAATCGCGATTGTAAGGGGAAGTAATATAATTTTGTACAGCCCATGTCAGCTAATTTAAGCAAAAATCTGCAAAGGTTCTTCATAGCTGTGTATAGAATTTTTGCATCTGATCGAACATCGAGCTCTTGGGCATTGTGCATGGTTTGGGTATGCTGAAAATGACAGCGATCTACAATGGCTATTCGTTCAATATCTAGTGCAAGAAATGTCATCGGGGCGCGCTTTGTGCAAAACCTGTAAAGGCCAAATATTACTTCTGTCAGAATTCTTCTAAACCAGCTGCATTCAAGAGGTGTACACACATTTTTGCATGCATGGAAGATCTGTTTTCTTTGCTTCACGTGGACTATCTTCTGTCTGCAACCTGTTCCATGTGCCTCTGGGCTAATACACGTAATTAAAGTCCTGCATCCCTCAAGCAGCCACTCAGACCAAGTGCAGCTTAGCTCTCTTACAAACACAAAGTTTTGAATCCAGCTCTGTTCGCAGACGCTTTATTTTCACTGAAGGGAAGTTTTGTGAATCTAGATTGACGTATACAAGTTCTTGCTTTTAGCAGCGTTCATAGGATTCACTAGCGGGTATTCACTAAGTATCTGTGTTATGGATGGATGCTAATCCAGCAATCTTCCAACTATGAAAGCTCACTATCTAATCTTCTAATCTCCTCAAGAATCATCGCTAGCTAAGTCCAAAATGAAACCCATGAATTTTCATACACACTAAATTGGGCATAGAGATTCCGATGAGGATTTTGATCACATTCTCAGCTTGGAAGCGACTATCATTTTTCACCAATAAGAGCCTACATATCATATTATATCATATCATAATATCACGAGCTTGGAATTACCATTTCACGATTTTATCTCGGTCCAAACTTGTGTTGAATCACTTGCAAACATTTTTCATTAGAGTTTCTTCTTCTCATTCTTTGAGAGGTATTTTGCACTAAAAAACGTGTTTGTTGTATAAACTATGCTGTCTTTGCGTTTCCAGGGACCTATTCTACTTACTCAAATAAGTTTGCAGTCTAGTCCGTTTCTGTATAGTGAATCTGCTCCAGTCAGATTTCTCATCCAATATTAGTAATGTGTTCTTTTCCAGCCGAACACGTGCCCGCCGAGCTATTCTTCCCAGATTATTCACGCGCTCAGCGCAAAACGTGGGCAAGGGAGGAATTTGTATTGGCCTTGACGGACCACAGTGGGGCTCGTAAAAACGCGTACTGTCACAAATTTCTGCCAACTTGGGATGAGAACAGTAAGTAACAAGCAAGAATGAACAGAGAGTGAAATGAGAACATTGATGTGTAGATAATTCAGAGAATGGGACATATCCAGCTGTTTTGGTGGTTATCTCTCCTATCCGAAATGCAGTCTTCTATCTGGATTTGGCTAGGACGATATTGAAGTACATAGGGCGTAGTCGCTCGCACCTCACCGGTTTCCTGTCATCGATCATTCAGCACAGCTATCCACAAAATAGAGGTACTTGAAAATTTCTTACACATGTCTGGTATTATAATTCAAGTTGTGAAGAGACTGCTTTACCTGTAGGCTTATTTTGTAGGGGCTAGCCTCGTTGTTGTTGAGAAATGTGCCACCGGTTGGCCGATCAGGATCGAGATATTCAACCAAGGGACCATTCTTGGAAGAACAGGATGCTCACAAGTTATTGAGCGGTTCGTTACAACTTTCGTAAGAGTTTTAATTTTGTACCATTGTGAACCAGAAATCCAGAGCCGTGTTTTTTTTTACTTCTTAGACAGTTGAATCTAATTCGCACAATAATGTCTGCAGATATTTTGACGAATGTACGATTGGTCGCCGCGAATGGTGTCGATTTCTAAAGCTATTTGACTTTTGACCATGATCATGACATCGCTTACGCCTTATGGAACGCTTTTTGTAGGGTTACGATGGATGTATTGTATCCATCTATCTTTTGTGATATTGACTTCAGAGTCGCGGAAAATTGCTTAGACCTCTTCTAGCAGACATGTAGTAAATGCTTGAATGGGGACCTATGTTTGTACTTACCCTAACCATACCATATATAGTCCATTTATAAAATCGTGACGAAGAATTTTACTGCGGACTTCGCGCCCACAGGAGAATAAACCTCATACAAGAAGGCATCACCTCAACGTTCAGCTCAGTCTCTTCCAGTGTCTCAGTATCATTATGCGTAAGCAAAAAAAACCATTCGACTAGAAATAAAACCAAGAGCATGCGATTTTCGGAACCAAGAGCATGCGATTTTCGGGAGTGGCGCGCGTGTCACGCGCGGTCGTGCCATTCTCACGATTTTCCAAATGCCCTATATGCTACGTGCGAAATGAATGCGATATTGGTGATAGCGTACAAACTGACCAAGTTCACCAAAAATCACTATTTTGATTTGAGACGAATTTTCCAGAATAACTCCTGAGATCACTACTTGCATAGTCGCAGCCTTATTGGGGGAGCAAAGGATACTACTCGCTGATAACACTGTTAGTTATCCATTTACCTTCTTACTGAGAATATATTTGTTCTATTAACTCTATCTTCAAGCTAATTTTTTACATTGTGCAAATTCTGTTCCGACAAAGCTTAGCTTGACCTTTTTTAGTGATACTATTTCAGGTATGTTCTGTTTCAAAACTGGTACAAGTCATGGAAGCCCTGATTCAACCCCTCTCATGGCCACATGTGTTTATCCCTGCCGTTCCGGATAACTTACTTGACCTCTGCCATAATCCTACTCCCTATTTGATGGGAATTTTGAGGTAGTACTATCAAATCACAGTGCTTTGCTAGATCTACATCTTCAGAAATAACCTCGCTCCTATACATGATCTCATCGTTCCGGATCCAGCCGGTGAAAACGACCTAGACCAGGCGAGTTCATCGGCTTTTCGTGTTTGATGACTTCTGATGATAGGCGGTTACAGGTGGATTTCGTTTTTATCGATGCAGACAATGGACTCATAAATCCACCTCCTGATCCCTATATCAACGACAGCTGTATAGCCGCATGGAAGCAGCAGGTTTGTAGCTTGTCATTTGCACCAACGCTCGAATTAGGAGGGATAAGCTTTCAAATACTGTTATGAAATGTGTCAAGGTCACGAATAGCTGTAAAAGATTTTCCTTCTTTTCATGCAGCCTTCATCAACGTAGTTTTCAAAATCTCTTTTTGTCATTCATTACCTAATTTATAAGCAGTTTTGATGAATGTCATCAAGAATTGAAAGCATTAAAGATCAGTCAAATCTCAAAACCACTGTAGTGGCAGAAAACTACAAGCCTTTTCCTTCTAAGCCTGAAAAATCTCAAAGTTTTTTGGGAATCTCAGATCTGCGTCCTACCTAGGGGAATGACGGGGTCTAGCCATCGGGTGATTAATGTGCAAATTTCATTTCATTTCATTTGTACGCTCAAGGCGTTTCATAAAAAAAAGACACATCAAGAAGTTAGTAATAAAGCGGAAACGAACAAGAAATGTAAACAAATGCAGACAAATGGGCGCATAATCAGCAAGCTTGGACAATTTTGTAAACATACTTAGTTTCCCTGTTCTTTTTGAGTTTGTTCTACTAGTCTGCTGCCTTCATGTCTTGAAAAATGGAGGCGTAAAGATTACTTCAGAAATATAATAAGTTTCGAAATGTCTATTTTTCATGTAGAAGTCAATAATTTTCAAAAGGTTCTGCCGGTTAGAACGCCGGTAAAATATAAAGGTATAACGGAATTTAGCCCAGATCGACAATGTTCGAGTTAATCCGAAAAGAAGAGTTCGCAGCTGAATTTGACCATCACTGCTTTGTTTTTAGTGCGCAGTGCATTTCTGCCAACGACTTGGTATGCCGAAGAAGGCAAGCATGGCTTTAATGACGGGTTTGAGAAATGCACTGGCTGGTGGACCTGGATCAGCAGCCGATTTACGGGTCGAAAATGTGAGCCTGGTCATTGCTGAGGTGTATCCCAAGATGAACGATAGCTGGAAATAAGCATAAGTACTCCTGCGGTTGTCAGTCCGCTGCGCATAAAGTTTTCTTTTTTGAAGCGAAATGCTCTTCACTAAGCTAAAAAGGGTGTCGAGCGTAAGAACTAGGCCGTATTGAGCTCCCAGCGTTTTTTTTTCTAATTTTCAAATCTCATCGTAGCATAAATATGAAATTTAAAAAAGATTTGACCTGTGCAACACATATTATGGCTGGCACAAGCTATCGTTCATGTTGGCTGCCCCTCTCATATTTGTGCTTACAACTGAATGCATTGTCAATTTTTTTTTTAGTTTATGCTGGTTTGGTACACATCCTTGTTTGGCCACTATAAGACAATCGCCGCTCAGCACGAGTGGGGAGCTGAATTTAAACAGCGATTGGTGGACACACAGCCCGACAAGTCGATCAAGCCGTATTTGTCTTATCTCTGCGAGACTGTGATGTTTCATGAATGGATCTTGAAGAGGGTAAGCGGTCGAGCTAAGGCTTCTTGATTAGTATTAGTATTGAATATTCCAGGTCTCAAAGTCCCCGGACCCATCCGATCCGTTACCGGGTAGCGAAGAGTTTCTCAACCGACGGATTGACAAGCTTTACCAAGCGGGTGTAAACTGTTTTGTAACAAAGCCTTTGGCCAAAATGTTCACGAAGGTCACAAATGCTCTCAGGGTGAAGAAGTGATCAAGTGTGACAGCGAGTAGATAAAGTTTTAGCCTTAGTTTTCAAAGTTCTATTGCTCTCGGTTCTTCACTTTGCCATTTCACAGTCGTTGCCTTAACTTTGCAATAGGATAACGGTTTACTAGTCATGTGTCTCAATAAGTACTCATGGTTAAAGTGGTTATACTAACCAACTCATATTGACCATATCATATTTTTTGTCGACTATATTGATCTCATTTCTAAATAACATTTCATAACTGTATGTCCGAGGAACGATAAATTTATAATATATTTCTTTTCATGCTCATTGCCCACTTGGCTATCTTTGAAATGAGTCCGATGGTCTTCCCCTCTCAGATGTATCAAAATCAACCAAATTTTTTCGATATTCTCCTGAAGGATCTCATGTCGTATCAAACCCAGTTGAAAGCACGTTCGATGATCGGTTGCCGTTTCTCCAAATATAGGAGTAGACGGGCATTCCAAAAATTGGTGGTCTGCTGGAAAGGAATAGTAATCACCACCCTGCACATAGGTGCCCGCTTCATTTTTTGAAGACTCATTGACATTTTTGTGCTCGTATTCACTGACTTCTGGTTGAGGTATTCGTTTGCCTTACTTGATCTCCAGCTTTTCCTATATTATCCCTTAGTACAAATCAAAATCCTGTAACTTTCAGCCACGGCATTTTTTATCGCGAGGCATGCACGCAGTATTGTAATAAGCGGTGACGGTAAGATCTCATCAATCCGAATTGGAAAACTTTATCATCATCAGGGACGACGGAAATCTCAAATGGAATAAAGGGAGAATGAGTAAGAATTGGCACTAATATTTTGCCGAGTTCTTGATTATGAGCAGAGACTGACGCGAAAGTAGGAATACATCGTGGTAGAATGCTTCTGGATATTTTTTGCTAGTATCTGTGTCTGCTCTTTGATTTACTTTCATCTTGGCTACCGAAACATTACACCAATTTCCTAGATACTTTTTGCTTTTCGTCCATTATCCTGCAAGCTGCACTTTCGAGAAGGTCGAATCGCAGCATCACTTCCTGTAAAATTGCCTGCCTCGCTATGACATCAAGTGCTTTTCACATAAGACTTATGCCAGTCTCAAAATTTCTCAGGAGGTGGATTCAGTGGACTTAATAATATATTTGTGCTGCGTTTTTGGAGCGCAGAGAAGGAACAAATGTGACGTCAACGCCATCTACTCAAGATTCGCTTAATTACGATCCTTCAAACTTAGCGCGTCTCATTTCGGGTTAGAAAAAATGTCTGTCCCATCGTTTATATCCGACGGCTACAGATAATTATCAAACCACTGAAGAAAAGCTGGGTATAGCCCTCTATTTCGTAAGACAAACCAGAGGGACGGAAATCTACGAATCATTGAAATTTTATTCATATGTGGAGAAGTAATTAAGGCACGTAAAAGAAAGGAATCAATCAGAGAGTAGCTGTTATATGAAACATAACAAAGAGAGATGTCGAGCGTTTCAAGAATGTACAGATCTTTATGTGGTACAAATGAATAGAATCTTCTCCATCGTAGTTCTCATGTTATGTGGTGGGATGGTAACATGTCGTAGTAAAGGAATGCACTTTACATCAAGTATTTCTTACATGCGCAAAGCTTTCATCAAAGTATCTTATCAATAGAGGAAAGACATATGAGGTATCAGTGGCTTTGATTCATGATCTTTTCACATTTTCGCACCTTCTAGAGCTTTTCTCATGAAGACCAACCAGTACAAGAGATTGTAGCACGTGTATACCACTGTAAAAAAAAGCATCACCTCAGCCATCAGGCCAACAAGAATATTTCACAAATAAGCATTATTTACATTATCGTAGTGCAGGAAAACCAGTCACTTACTTACTCACTTGGTAAGAGCCGCGAAAATTATGAGAAATCTGATTCAGTTAATAATACTTATGAGAGCTTTTGTACATAACAAAATTAGACTGTCAAATAAAAAATTTTGAAAATCATAAACTATTGGCTCCGAAAACATCAGCTTTTTCTTCCTGAGTCTAGGTCGTAAAACCATAATTAGTAGCAAAATCAGAGTCTACTGGATATTTTGGCATTTGTGGTGACTGAAATTCGGATTATATAGAATTTTCATTTAAGTGATTCCCTTTTACTTATAATTCGGTTTGTTGAATTTGCTTCAATAATTACCAGAACAAATAACTTTCTTTTTCAAGAATATATCGAGTCAAACGAAATTGAAACTGAAGGGAATTACGATTCTAAACTACTTTGATGCAAGCTTGTGGACTAGGTTGAGCAAAGAATAGTAACGTGGTTGCAGGAGATTCCTTTACATCTTACCGTTGGATATTCAACCCAGTCCATTCAATCAGAGTTATCCCTTTCATCATAATTCTTGAAATAAAAGTAAATTGTGAAGAGATTCATAAACGAAGACGTTCTTTTGTAACACTCCCGGGCAAACTTTCAAATTAAGTTCTTTGAACCTTGCCGAAGGAGAGTCTGGCTAGAAAGTCACTATAGATGATTTCTCTTTCCTATGGTACGCTATTCCTAACAAATACCTCTTTACTTTTCAGAACAATAATTTCTTTTTTAGTACTCACGTGGAAATGCTATTCGAGCGCAATAGTCTACTTTCTCACAGTATTGAATCGTTCGAGACTTTTTGGGCACATCACTGCATGCTGACGTTTTGCTCATGTTCCATCTGTAATTCTCATAAATAGTGATAAATAAAGATTGCAGGAAGCAAAACTATAATGAACAAACTAGCAGCCAAAGAGGGAAAGAATGAAATGTGATGTAAGAAACTGAAGATGTAAGAACTTGCTTCATTTATCCTCTAATTAATCAGGAAAACGGAGCAAAACCGAGAGTAGCCAAATTTAGGCAATGATAAGTCCGAGCCATTGCGATTATCTTAGTTTAATATTGTCGAAAATTCTTTCCAAAACCGTTTTATTCCACAGAAAGATAACTAACCAGATCAAATCACATATGTATCAAAATTCGAATAGCGCAGAAACAACTAAGAAAATACCGCCAGATTATTTTTAAGAACCCTTGAAAGGCACTTGAGAGGAACTAGCCCAATTCTTAGGTTTCCATCAATATTGAGCTGAAAACCCAAAGAGTATAAAAAGCTGGAAGGTGTGCATGACAAGTTTTTGGCACTTGTGCGGTATATGCATTATCCTCATCATGAAATTCCATTTCTCGTGTTTCTAGGAGCGGGGGGAGGGGGGACGAGACATGGAGAAAATGGGTGCGCGCTTCAACCTTTGATCCAACTGATCAACTGATTTGCTGTCATCTATAAATTAAAAGCGGCAAGCTCTCATTCAACAGAATTTTTAGTGAATAGATGTGCAATACAAGTAAACGGACTTGAGTCTGATGTCCACGACCTCTCTAACCACAAGAATTGAGCTGTGCTTAGAGAGGTGCTTTGGTTTTTGCTTTTGCTTGCGCATGAGGAAACTTATTGAGAAAGAACAATACCGGTAAAAATCGCATTTTCACACTTTGTGGTTGAAGTGCGGCAAGCGGGGGAGTGCAAAAGAACAACACTTCAAGAGTCGTTAGCTTGTCACTAGGTCCGAGAATGTCGATAAGTGCATATGTGAGAGTACGAGAAAACGACAATTATTGACCTTGTGGTTTCATAAAACACCTGAAGAAAGCTTGTAAAACAGTCACTCTTTCATTGCACACTATCTATGCATTGCAAACGAGTTATTTATCCAACAGAAACAAAGCTAGACATTTGCTCAGACTTAATTAGAGGGGGGGGGGGTACTCGACATGCTTATCACAAGTACGGTGGGTATGCGGTAGTGGCAATAAATGTAAATATGCCTAAAACTTTGTGCTAAAGGGAAAACTATCTGACTTGCTAATCACGAACATCTCATATTGCATTAACACGTTTCGGACCGCGAAATCGCGCGCGACGAAAAAGAGTACATTTTTAGCCATTAGCCAACAAAGGGACCTTATTTCATAGAATGTGTGCTGCATCTGTAATCAGCTTGTCAGATAAGTCCCATACTCAAAGTTCGGAGCGGATTCAAAGTGTTTGAATTTTGTCGCTTGTGAAGGACTCCTGTGCTTTCCTGGAAGATAGGAACATGAACTCAGTTTTCTATAGTAATTACGCCAGATCCCACGCCGTCTGGCTTCTTCTGGTCGCTAGGCAGTTCTCCTCGCTCCAAGCTCGGGGTCAGCGATCGCCCCGTGGAAATCAAGAGTTGGCCCAGTAAGTCTGCTCTTGTAGGGGAACAAATTTTATTACTCAGACAGCAAGAAGATTTAGAAAAAACCCTGGACATCGGATCCCGCCTACGGCGCCGGGTGGTAGCAAGAACGATGTCAGGGTCCTTAGGGCGCCTTTTGGATCGGACAAAAACGACACGTCTGCGCGGACGACACGCCATGGAGACTGCCTCATGCTCTGCACCTACAACGCCAGGACAGTCTCAACAAACGCCGACCTCCACGCTCTTCTCGCCGCTGCAGAGCACATCAAGTACCACATCATCGCTCTGCAGGAAAAGAAGTTCAGGAAGAAGGACGTGCGACACATGAGTGATAAGACCCTCATCATTCGTGGTGAAAAGGTTCCATCACGAAAGGTGGGAGGCGTCGGCTTTGTCGTCCAAAATCTATCGTCCATCTTGTCGATTCGCACGAGATCCTATCACCTCGACTAGGCATCCTACGACTACGACCTCCACATCAGAAGACCATCAGCATCATCAACTGCTATTCTCCAACATCAGCAGCTGACGAATCAGAACTAGATGCTTTCTGCGAAGATGTGGAGGAGGTGTCCGCAACGAGAAGTCCTTTTACAAGTTTGTTGTGGGCGACTTCAACGCGAAAATCGGGATGCCACTGGAAAAGGAATATAGGATCGGGAAGTTTGGATATGGGCTCCGGAACGAAAACGGCAACCGTCTTGTTGGGCTTCTCTCCGCCGCACGACTTTTCCATAGAAATTCCATCTTCATGAAGAAAGAACATCGCCGGTGGACATGGGAATCTCCCAACCGAACGACTCACGCGGAGATCGACCACATTCTCACCAGCCGAAGGTGGAGCTTGCTCAATGTCTCAGTAGTTCCATGTTTCTGCAGTGGCTCCGAACACCGCCTCCTTCAAGCGAAGGTACGATTCAGTCGAAGGCTGGAAAAGAAGGTCTTCCACAGTGCCGCAAGAAGGAAGAATGTCGTTTATGACGGTAACAGGCTGGAGGAGCTCATATCAAGTTGTGGCTTGCCCATCGAGGAGAACCAACGTACGACTACGATTGGCTTCTGAAAGGATTGCGAGCCTGCGGAGAGTGCGCCTCAGTGACTTCCGAGAAGAACGTGAAACGCATTTCGAAGACCACCAAGGAAGTGCTCGAAAGAAGAAGATTTCTGAGGCAGGATCCGAATGCAACCCATCTCGAGCGACTGGCCAACGCCAGTTGCAGAACAGCTTTGCAGGAGGATCTCAGGAAGTACAGGCAAGCCAACATACTGGAAGCAGCCGAAGGAAGACGAAGTCTCAAGAAGTGCCGAAGGGACCTCTGTGAATATCACGTACCGCTGGCTGCACTATTAAACGAAGACGGGACTCCGACTTCTTCCCGATACAAGATGGAATCTATCGCGAAGAACTTCTATACCAACCTCTTCCGCTCATCAACACCCGTGCCGATGCACGTTGTTCCCACTGGAGAAATACCACTACAAATTCTACCTGCTGAAGTGCGCACAGCGATTCAGACCATGAAGAGTCCACGGCTCCAGGACCAGACCATCTTTCCGTCGAATTTCTGCGAGCTGGAGGACAACGTCTACACGAGATTCTCGCGTCGACATCTTACCTTAGAAGGAGAGGATTCCCGACCAGTGGAGAACGTCAGGAACTGTCCTTCTCTTCAAGAAGGGTGAGCGGGAGGATCTTCGGAACTACCGTCCAATATGCCTGCTGAGTGTGCTCTACAAACTCTTCACGAAGATTATCCTCGCTCGCATATCTAGGACACTGGATGAAACTCAACCTCAAGAACAAGCTGGATTTCGCAAAGGATTCTGCTGCATACCACATCCAGACGGTTTCGAGGGTTATAGAAGTCTGCCGAGAATACCGACTGCCTCTCGTCCTAACCTTTGTCGACTACGAGAAAGCCTTTGACAGCGTCGAAACTAGCGCCATCCCGTCTGCGCTAGTCGATCAAGGAGTGGACCCAGCTTACGTGAGGACACTAGCCGACGGCTACAAGGACTGTACAACGACTGCAGCTGCTCCATCACCCCTTGACCATTCCAATCGGGAAGGGGGTTCGACAAGGTGAAACTATTTCACCGAAGCTGTTCACCGCGGCCTTGCAGTGGGTGATGAAGTCACTGGACTGGGACGAGAGAGGCATACGAGTTGATGGGAGATTCCTGTCGAACCTTCGTTTTGCGGACGACATCGTTCTCTTTTCGAGCAGTATCACTGAAGCAGAGACGATGCTGAAGGAACTGAACGAAGTAGGGAAGAAGATCGGATTGCGAATCAATCGGAAGAAGACTCAATTCATGAAGAACGCCTTTTGCGAAGATGCAGAAATGGAATTGAAAGGCACCCCTATCACGGAGACGTCTTCTTACGTGTATCTCGGACGTTCGATGAACATGGAGAACGACTTGAGGGAAGAACTTAACAGGAGAAGAAAAGCAGTCTAGGCCGCCTTCGGGCCTCTGAAGGAAGTCACCGACCAACTGACGACCCGGAGCTTGTGCCCACCTGTTCGACTCAATCGTTCTCCCGGCGCTCTGTTACGCAGCTGAGACTTGGGCCGACACTGTAGCCACATCGAAAGCTTTACGGACCACCCACAGAGCGCTCGAGCGCAGTCTTCTGAAGATGACCCGACACAAACAACATCTCGTCGGACTTCGCAGTACGGATATGAGTAGAATGTTCCGTCTTCGTGACCCAGCGGAATATGCGAATGCGAAGCATCGATGAGCCGGTCACATTATGGGAAGAGCAGACGACAGATGGACACTAAGAACATCTGAGTGGATTCCTCGCGAAGCCAAACGTCCCCGAGGAAGGTCGCCAACGAGATGGGCAGACGTGTTCGTGGAAAGGATGGACCAGCTGAGAAATCAATGATACGATTATCACACCTGGAACTCGTGGACGCAACCACCGATGGCAACCAAGAAGATCGTGGATGTCTGAAGCGAGGGACAGGGAGAAATGGAAACTTCTAAGCTGGGGCACGCACGTCACGTGAAGCCGGGCCATCTAAGTATCTAAGTAAGTTCTAATACAGTGCTGGACATAATTATAGAGACACTCTAGAAATCGTCTTAATTTTCGTTCTTGTCAGTGAATCTGTCTGAAACTTTGCTGTATGGTGCGCATGTAAGCCTACCGTAACTTCTCAGAACGGCTTCCAATCCCGTTGATTTCGAACGGAGAAAAATGGAAAAATTCGAAAATGCCTGTTTTGCAAGCTGGACATAATTCTAAAGACACCTGGCCTTTTTAAACATTATCGCATTCCTTGACTCCCAAATTTTTTTGTAGAGTTACATCCCAGAATATGAAACTTTTGCAGCACCTAGGACCTGTCATGCTACTCAAGGAAAGATGATCCTTGCATTTTTCTTTTCCAAAGGCATCAGAAGTCAAACTGCGTCAACAAACAACTGGTTTGAGGAGTTTTCAAGCCCGCGTTCATTTCAAATGACAGTCCTGGAATACATTTAGCCTTTTTGATAGATAAGGTGAAGAGCGTTTTCGTGAACTCCGCGTAATCGCTGATATTGACAATCAGACTCCAACCCCATCATAAGATTGTCACGCTTTTACACCACAAAACTCGATTTTCAAGTTACAGAAAACGCTGCAATGTAGCCGCAACAATACACGTACAACAATAAACTTGTGTGCCTAGTCAGGAAAAAATTTCGGGGTTGCACATTCTGGTTCAGCCACAGTTGTCATCCGTTGAGAGTTGAGTAGAGCACCCTGTACAATCATATCCAACTCAAATCAAGAAATCGAATAAGAGAGCGCTTGAAACTTCAAAATCTTAACTAATCCCACCTACCGCGGAAAATGCGACATGAAACAGAGAAGGAAATAGTGAGATTTGTGATTGTGTTGAATCTACTGCTCGCAGAGAATTTTCGTGGAAAGTATTTCAAATCTAAATGCCGACTGCAGCACTAGAAAAAATCTGAAAGTTGTAGCAAAAGCTGCGTCTCCATGTAGACAATATAATAAATCGAGTCCATCATTTCACGAAAATTAGAAAGTGAGTTTTGTGGTTTAAAAGCGCGACAATCCTATGTTGAGTTTGGAGTCTGTCCGTCAAAATCAGCGATTACGCGGAGTTTACCAAAGCGCTCTTTACCTTATCTATCAAAAAGGCTAAGTGTATTCCAGGACTGTCATTTGAAATGAACGCGGGCTTGAAAACTCCTCAAACCAGTTGTTTGTTGACGCAGTTTGACTTCTGATGCCTTTGGAAAAGAAAAATGCAAGGATCATCTTTCCTTGAGTAGCATGACAGGTCCTAGGTGCTGCAAAAGTTTCATATTCTGGGATGTATCTCTACAAAAAAATTTGGGAGTCAAGGAATGCGATAATGTTTAAAAAGGCCAGGTGTCTTTATAATTATGTCCAGCTTGCAAAACAGGCTTTTTCGAATTTTTCCATTTTTCTCCGTTCGAAATCAACGGGATTGGAAGCCGTTCTAAGGAGTTACGGTAGGCTTACATGCGCACCATACAGCAAAGTTTCAGACAAATTCACTGACAAGAACGAAAATTACGCGATTTTTAGAGTGTCTCTATAATTATGTCCAGCACTGTAGTAACCAAAAGTATCTATGTTGTAGACGGTACACATCAGTATCGGAACCACAGTTTTTCTCTTTGATACTGGAGCAAAGGAAAGTTGCGACGTCGCACGCGCCGTTCGCGTTGCCGCACTCCGTTACAACTGTTGTTCGATTCGTGCTCATCGCTCCTTAACAAATAGCGGCAGCACAACTCCACAGAGTCATTTGAAAAGTAGAAGCTTAGGCCTTTGACCTGATAACTTTGGACTAAAATAAAACCTTCTGTAAACGCAAAAAAGATCCTCCAAAACAGGGTGCTGCGCCATGTGCAGCACCGGTCCGAAACGTGTTAAAAGGCATTTTGAGGATTTCCTGTTATCTAAATTGGCCTGTGAAATGGAAAAGGTGCTTTATACGCTGTAAGTTAGCGACTTCACAATAAGGCGTTTATGCCCTCCAGACCTTCTAACCCTGCTATTTTGTGCTTCTACACTAAAACCACATAACCGCGCAGGGATCCTTTGAGAGCATGGTATTTGAACTTAGCATGTCTAGTAGCCCAAATGGTCTTTAATGGGCTCCAAAACGCGAAAGTAGTGTGATATTCGTGATCAGCAAGTCGATTAACCTCTTTGGACCGAGTATGAGCAAGATGACAGTTTCGAGCATGAGGATCGGATACCAAGTTAGCCCAAACGGCTAGCGGCGGCCACAGGCGGCTGGCTACAAGCGGCCAGCAGCGATTTTACGCGCGCTATGGAGGCACCCTTACCTCGGATAAAGGTTCCGAAAGTTGGATAAATAAGCATACGTTCTGACACCAAGAGTGAGACGTGAGAAGGAAGGATCGGAAAAGCTGCATTTTATATGAAATCAAAAGTTCCTACAAGATTTTAGAAAGAAAGGCTCTAGCTTTTGAGCTGTCCAGAGAAAAAAGAAGACCATCTAAAACGATCACCTTCTGCCAGTATTTTGAGTGGGAGACAGCGTAGGTCTTCCTTCGTTTCTCGTTATGAAACCGATTGTTGCCAGCTCAATGAGTGATGCAAAAATAAAGGAAATTCCGCTAGAAATAATCTGATGATGGTGGTGGTAAATATAGCCGAAAATCTGCCTAACCTGAGCATCCAGACATCGATTGCTTTGATATATGAAACTCTTGGTAGATTGCGAATAATATTACCAAATTGGAAAGTCATAGCCAGTAGGGCATTCACTCCAATCATCGTTCGAGCTGGCATTGCTCTAGGACCGAGATAGAACGGTATCCAAGAGATGAACACTGTCATATACGTAGGAATATACCCTGAGTGAGAAAAAATCAAGTAGGAACAGATTGGTAACGCTCTTGTCAAATGCATTTTTTGAAACAAGCAGCAAATCCTAGAGAGAAATTTACTTCTTTCTACTTTGAAGGATTAGACCTTAAATTTCACCTGGCACCACGCGAGAGACTCTAAACTAATACTTGGTCCCTAGCAGCAAAAGTACCAAAAATACAGGCTGTATCGCAATCAGGCCTTCAGTTTCTACTGAGCGTGAACCTTAGAATTCGAATGGTTTGGCAATACACATTCCCCTTTACCGATTTCTCTGCTCAATTCTAGCTTTGATGTATGCGTAGGCTTAGCTATTTTTTTCACGATATATGTGTGAAAACTAACCTTGCAGGAGATACCAGCCGTAACGCCTGCGAAATACAAATTTGACGGTCAATTCATCCCAGTATCCTGCGGCGTAGAGCTGAAAAGCAAGTTTTAAGAATTGCCTCAAAAGATTTGCTATCTTTTTTACATAGAGTAGATACTTGCTGACCGTCATATTATCCGATGTACTAAAATTAACCATTGAAAATTCTGGAAGTTCAATATCTTTGTATTGTACTAGAGGTATTTCACTCCATCTCATGTGTACCTCTTCCTAAAATAGGACTGTTGCGGACAGCGGACATACTGTACTTTGATGGTATACATGTCTGCTTACCTTATTATAGTTGAAAGACTCGAAAGTTAGAATGCACTCTACCATATCCATGGGAAATTTTGACAAATCCATTTTGCAAGGACCCGTACTCTTTATCCTCCAATTAGACCATATTGACCCTGAAATACGAGCAGAAAGCTATCTTGCTACAGCTGCTCACTCCACAGTAGCAAGAGTTAATATTCTTCTGTCTGCTGAAAACAAAGACTTCGCCAAGTCCCTAAGTAATATTTCTTAACCTTTCAGGATAGCTCAGAGTGACTTGATTTTAAACTTTGAAGCACACTGCTCTGATCTGATGAAGAAAATTCATTTTCCCCTGGGAAGTCAATGAGCCAGTCTTGATTCTTTGTCTCAGTTCGTTTGACAGCTTGTCTGGCATCTACGACTTAGAAGTGTGTCAACACTATCTTGCATGCACTATTTTTCAAAAAGGGCCAAATTAGATTTTCGTTGCTGAAGATGGCTTATACCCGAGCTCCAGCATGTTTACAATGGCTCAGTTACATAATGGTAACTTCCTCTGTTGCAATCACTGAAGTCTGAGACACGTCTTCAGTAAGGGTATCTCGAAAGACGCGACGCTAGGTTAGACGACATGTAAATTGCTGAGTTATAAATCGATTGCGCAAATTGAGTTAAACTCGCAGCTGGAGTGATTTAGGAGAATCTAGACGCTCGTTTGTGCTTCATGGTTGCCAGAAGTTCAAAACACCCATGAGAGTTGTAATTTACCACCCTTAAGTGAAACTTTACGGAGCATTTGCAGCTAGCGAAAGTTCATGCATTGGTAGGCAAGATAGTCGACATCATAGATGCGATAGGTGGAGAAATTTCTCTGACCCCCTTCACTTTAGGGCCGGCATCGGTTGACCCCTTTCACCTGAGGTTGAGACTAAAATCAAGGCATAACGGCATAATCAAATAGCTGTTACAACGGCATTTTGTGTTTGGAAAGGGAAGCCAGCTCTCTTCTCCTCAGACATCACGACTACAAGAGTAGGAGCGTTTTGTTGAAAAAACGCATGCTTGAGACCTTCAGCGCACTCAAAGTGGCGTTAGTAACGAAACATAATCAAAAATTAAAAGGATGACTGATTCTTTGAATAATTAACATTGTATTAATGAGTACACACTGTCACAGAAAGAGTTGAGCATGAGTAGAAAATCTGGACTAGCCAATGATGGATGCATGTTTACTGACAAGAATCGTACTATATCTCCCTTCACTAGAGAGAATAATTACAAATAAAAGGGCATTCAGATTACTCGTTTCTCAAGCTTTCGAATCATACATAAATTTCGAAAAAAAAAACTTCTTGGTCTGAAAAAATAATTACTCAGAATTGACTGATATTATAGCTGGGTAAAATTGCTCCTATCTCGCTTCACAGAGAAGCTAGGAAAAAAGAGACGGTCTATGTCTATTCCTCGTATTCTTAGCTATCGAATGGTATACAAAGTTTTGGTGAATAAAGCTTTCCCAATCCGAAAAACCTTGCTCTGGGTACCCATAGAAAGCCGGAGCAGGGTGGAGCAAGTTAGTATTGAATATCTCCACCTCATTTTTGAAAAGCCACAAATTTTTTCACCCAACAACCTGTATACCGTTAGAAAGCCTGCGAAAAATGGATTCGACGTAGACCGTCTCTTTTTCTCTAGCTCCCCTCTACCTAAAGATACATGGCATTTTAGCTAAAAACATGTGTGTTTTTGTCAAGAAATTCCTGCGTGAAGAATGAGTGAAGGTGCCTGATTTTCTAACAGTAGCATAGAGCAAGACCTTGCCAGTAAACTAAGACCGTCTCTTTTTTTTCTAGCTTCCCTCTTTCTCTCAGAAGTGGAGCGCAAAGTGATTGCATAAAAATAATTGATGCTGAAGCTAGATCTGATTTCTTATATGTATATTCACAAGAGAGCTGGAAAAAAAGAGACGGTCTACGTCAATTCTATATGTCTCAAGCTTTCGTATGGTATGCCGACTTATGAAACACAAAGCTTTCCCAAGTCAAAAAAGTCTCTATTAGATGACCTTCGATGACCTGAGCATTGAGAAAATTTTCATTTTACACCTCTACAGCGCTTATTTTCCTTCTTTTCACTCCCGCTACTATTAGGCATGCAAGCTGCGTCAGCATTCATCTTAAGACTCAGTTACCCTCTTCACTTTTCTAGATCGGAAGTAGCCAAAACCCCCTTCACCTGGAGAGGAACCTGCTCCCCCTATCGCACCTATGGTCGACATTCCAAAGGTTACCTAGTGTAATTGTACCAATTTTGAGATATACATTGAAGCACGACAGCTGCTTGGAACGACGACATAAAATAACATGAAACCAATTGCAGGAAGTGAAAAAATACGTCGTAATGTCATCTCCAAATTCAAAAGTGGTGCAAGTAAGCGGTTAAAATGAGGACGTCTGCGCAGGTTTGTCTCACTCCTCCATCAACCTTTTCGGGAAAATGACTGCAAAAGGTAGAAACATTTCAAAAAATTGCACAATCTTCCATTAGAACTGCTTGAGAAGGAAGTTTGATCTGTTATGGTTGCTTCGATAAAAAATTTTCGTGCGATCTTTTGAAAACTTTCTCATTGACTCAGCAGAAAGTGTTAGATGATGCGCCATTGATTTGTACGAAAGACTTTGAAGGTGATTTTTGCTAACAATCAAACGTACCATTTGGAAAAACCATGAGGAAAACATTCCTAAAGGGTGAGCTGTGTATTTGAGCTTTTTTCGAATTCACAAAGCACGTATTTGGTGTCCAGATATTCTGCAGAACAGTCCAGTCGAACGAGAGATTCCCTTGGCATGGATTCAATATGTCGTAGGCAAGGCCAGGATCAGTCCAGTACTCATTCATATAGAGATCTGAAAAGGATTATAAAGTGGTAAAATAGCACTGTCAAAAATTCTAACACTAGTGTGCTTGTAGTTAAGCTGAGCTATTGGGCTGTTGTTTCTTTCTAAAGTACACGATATGAAATATCTACTACATCTATACACCCAATTTTCTTTCGAATCGTACAGATGGTCCCATCTTTCCATTCTACGACATCGTTCTTTTCTTTCCTTATGTGCAAGGAAAAACTGCTCTTACCCGCTTACATCCAATAATTGAGAGAAAATCATCCGAAGGTCAAAAAATACATGAGTATAAAATCAAAGGTAAGTTGTGTTCCAACAGTTTAATCAGTGGCCCTGGCTCTCTCCCCCCCCCCCCCCCGCATTCCTTCTCTTTTCTAAGAATTTAGTGGTTTGTGTTATGCGACTGATGCTGTTCCGAGTAATAGAGTTGCGCCGTCCCATAGGAGGCTTTCACCCTCGCTTTTCTATGTCATCTTACGAAACAGGACAAACGTCACAACCATCTGCTAAGGAAATTTCGTGGGAATCCCATCCATCATTCTCACAGGCTAAAGAGAAGAAGCAAAGGAGGAAGTAGTGAGCAAGCAATATTGAAAAGTTTGAGTAAACATTGGTGGAAAAATTGCACGAGTTAATGCAGGCGGCTGACCATTGCCTGATACGTGAGTATTTGGCTTCAATAAAATCAAATCTTGGTTTAGGCGCTTTTATAGAAGCATTTTCCTTGGCAGACGGGAAATGCAGACATGCTGTTTCTAACGAAGAACTAGGAACTGGGAGATATAATCGAAATGTGAGAAAAATCCTTTCAATAAATCAGTGGGGGGAGGGGAAGGTAAAATAACCTTATTTCTGCGAAAGAATGATGGACATCGCTAACGTCCTGTCAGTTCTAATTCGGATGCGATTCGTCAGTAAATGGTTTTGAAAGTTCCGTGAATTCTTGATGAGAACAAGTCCAAAAGCAGTGGAGCATGAAGGCAACGAATTTCAGACTCTATATCAGGGAATTCAGAGGGATTCACTAGCAAAAAGCCATGTAAAAAAGCACAACACCTGCAATATTTACCTATCTCAAAGTCTTGCGTGAGCTCAGACACGGAGGTCACCTCCTGGACCCACATCTCAATACGAACATCGACCGGATTCGATGGTAGCTTGTGCTTGTTGTAGTGGAGAGCTGTGTCGAAAAGAAGATGATCGATGATTTCCGTGTCATTGGCACACCTTCGGGACGACTGGTAAGGATATAACTCATTTTGGCTTTCCACGATATGTGTCTGCGAAAGAAGTGATAGTAGTAACAGCATCTGAGTAGCTGTCAAGCCATTCGTCTTCTTCTTTGCCCTGAAATGTCAGCAATTCCCAGACGAACTGTTATGGTCGAAAGATTTGAGCGAACAACGGGTTCAAAGGTGTGTTTTTGTGCAAAAGCGACGTCTCAGATTTTGAAGAATGGGAGCATGTCCCAGCAATTTAAGAAAGCTACGTCTGAATCTACTCGTTAGCCGCCTGCCATCAATATTCAACCACGCCCCACCCAACTCACAACGCCCACATTACCGAGAGTAAACGAGTTGCTAGACGCTATCCAAATAGAGCTAATTTTTTGAATGTCCTTTTCATGGTCGGCTGCGTACAAAGGGCAACTCACAACGGCGTCCGTATGCGGGTCTATTCAGTAATTGCCGATCATCTTATCTGACGCACTCCGCTTAATTCCTTCTATCGCAGTGCAAGTTTGTCAAGGATTTGCTGCTCCAACCCTACCTAGAGATAAAACCTTGTCATAAGTCGAAAATAATGCCCGTTCACCGTCCTTTAACTGGTCCTATATGTTTGAGACAGTGACTATCTGCTTTTGCCACATGTGCGTAGGGAGTTACTCTTTTTCGGAAAGAGCGCTTCTGCATCCCGCAACTTAGCTAACGAGGAAATGGTCAAAACTTAACCCAGCCATTCCAAACAAAACAAGCTTTATATCATCGGACTCGTCTTTGAACGCCGATTTCAGACATGTGTTTTTTTATCTGGCAAGCGACCATCCAGGAGGAATTATGAGCGTTCAAATATGAGAAATTTTTTGAGTTCCGACGAATATATTTCCTTGGAAGGCGGCCTTATGGCGCGGATTTACAATGGCTATGGTTATTTTGATTACAAGGAAGAAGCGCATCCACCAAAAAACCTAAATAATTGTTTTTGAAACCTATTTCGTGGAACATGCACCACAGAACACTTGACAAATCGCACATTTAACCGCTCGTAATTCCTCCCAGACAGTCGCTTGGCAGAAAAAACTTATATTTGTGATCAGCATTTCAAGACTAGTCCGATGATGTACAGCATGTTTGGTATGGGTGGGTTAATTTCTGACCACTCCCTGCTAAGTCCGTTAGAGATAAAGTATGAACGCTATCCGAATAATGATGATAGTTATAATAAAATTAATAAAAATATTGGGCTGATGTAAAACTGCATGATCTGAAATCATTGTCCAAGCAACGTTTTTCCATAATCCTGTCTTGTGACCAATATCACAAAATGCTTCAAAGCGCCTTTTTTGTTTCTCACGCATACTTAATTAGATCTTCAATTCCCTCTATTCAGATTTCTCTCAAAAGTGTGTCTGAAAATAGCAAATCTTTCCGTTTACAGTTCGCTTTGAATCCAAGCTTCTAGAATCTGTAGAAGCATTATCGACTAAACATTAGAGTCTACCACTTGTTAATGTTCAAGCAAGGCAAGTTTTACCAAAACAATGGCTTTCTGTAACCAATTGCAGATTACAATTTATTTGAAAGGAACATTTTTGTATCAACCAGCAATTTGATAACGCGATCTATTTGATTAGAAAGCCTTTTATGCTAATCAGCAAATCGATTATATAGAAGCAGAAATGCAGATTTAACACATGCTGAGTTGTCTTCGGAAACTGACCCTAAGTCATGTTTGCTGTTGATAAACCGTTACTAATAGGCTACTTCACAAACTAACAAGCGGCCACATCACCACTTTGGAATTTTGTTTGAATTTGTGAATTCTTCTTTTGTCTATCCTTGAAAATGGCCAACTTCAGAACTCCGAAATTCGGGTGAACCCCTACTGTAGTGGCATTATAAATTGAGCTGCATTGGTGACGAATCAATAGATATGACAGGCCTCCCAAACAATAGAAATGAAGTGTTTTTTATGAATGAAAATGTTTGTTAATGAACTCTCATTAATCGATTGCTGTTCCTGCCCGATGTAATATTTTACTCAACGCATCCCAGAATGGACTACTCTGACAAGCTGCAAATGAACGCTTGAGAGCGCAAATTGTTGTTGGTTTTGGCAAACGCAATAGGAAAATCAGCAAATGAGGCATCCCAAGTTCGTTATGGTTTCCGTCTTCGACTGCAACATTTTGGGCTAAAGATCTGCTTTATCTAAGCAGATGAAAGAGTAATTTAGTGTGTCATCAAATACGTCGAATGAGAGTGCGTAAAATAGCTTCAATGGGGCAGGAGAGTACTGAAGGGTGTATGTCAGAGGCGCGATTTTATTGCCAGATGGACCCCAAATAGCACATAATAAGTGCTTTAAAACGCTCTAGAAGTATTCAAGCTTCAGAAGGAGATATATTAGGTAGTTACATGAGTTGCGCTAACTTGGAATCAAATCAAAACAGCAATTTTGAAGGTAAAAGACCCATGAAAATGCAGTTTAGAACAAATTCGTAAATATTTCGGTCCATTTTTCAGCAAAAGCCATCAAACTCAACAGCTGGTAGCCCCAGACAGCTAGTAAGCCAATGCACTTTATCTGGTACTTTTTGAAGACTCGGGTAGCACCAAACTGGAGTTCTGAGTTGGTGACAGCCGCCTCTTGACCGTCTTGACCGTCCGCCCAGTACCGAAAGTCTTTTCTCATTTAGACCTCTCAGGCACAGATGACTGCGAATTAGTGTCGTCTAGTGCTAAACAGCTTTCATAGTGGTTGATCAAGATGCAGGATAGGCGCTCGTAATAGATGTTTGAAGACAGAATACTTCAAGGAGGCACAAATGTTCACAATTTCATTGATTCAAGAATGAATTCTTTTCAAAAAGCGTTTTTTTAGGTCGGGGTGTGAAGCGAATGCTATGTTAGTTGAGCGAAGTGGTCAAAAATGTTTGAAGATAACACTGCTCTCCAAACTCCATTATTCTCCATTCAAAAGTTGTCCGACTCAGATAACAACGAAATAAATAACTTTCTCTCAGTTAAATGAACGCATCATAGTCATAACTATGTATTTCTAAGCAGCTGCTATGTCATCAGCATATTACAGATCGTATAATTCAGAAAGATTTGGCCATGCATTTTGGTTTTTTGAGAGGATCTCTAGTGTACTAAATCGACTATACTAGATTGACTATACTACCCTGCTGTGTCGACAGCATTTTCGTGGAAAACTGTTGTGCTTCTGACGCCAACGCACTTTCGCAACAAAGAAAAACCTCTTTTTGCTGTCGACAATTACGCGTAGAAAAGCCATTGAGCGCACATTTTCATGTTTTGTGTCTATGACCTTTAACAATGTTGTTGGCAACCGAAAGAACTTAGACGACAAATCTCTCCAGAATCATATGGTGTGGATCTCAAGCTAGCACGACCAAATGAGAACGTTCGTTGAGGACGATTTCAGCCCATGTGCGCATCCATACCTGGGTAATTAGGTTTATTATTAGTCTGTTAACTAAATTTGCAACTGTGTCAGTAACTTCTCGCTTTATGAACTGAAGCGCTCAAAACTTGAGCTATAAAGTGGCACAAACCTCTCGTTTTCCGATGACAAAATAGAAAAAATTCAAGTTTCTCGAAAACGGTGAAATTCGAGGATTCCTGGAGTTTGAGTCAGAATCAAGCCATTCTTAACCTAGATCATGCACAACAATTCGAAAGTGCGCACAAATTGTTGCTAGAGGTCAACTCATCTAGCGCAGTAAGGAAGAAATGGACTTCGAAGACAACTCAAGATTTGGCGCTTTCACAAAATTGAATGAGCTGCTGTACGCAAAGATGCTTGGGGATAGGAGTCATTCGCTAAGGAGTCAAAGTCTCAGAATTCGCAAAACCCTAGTTCTTTTCCTTCCCTCGAAACCAAGCTCCTTATGCTTCCGCTTTTAGCAGAAGTATGGTTGAGAAGAAGGGTAATTTTTCCAGCAAGTTTCTGTATGATCAAATATTGACACCTAAAAACTTTTAGCGCAAATATCTTGCTGCCTGAGCCCTGAGTCTTTTCTCCCCTCGAGATCTCCCTGTTTTTTGCTTCTAGGGACAAAAGTGTGGTTTTTGCAAAGTTCAGAAGGCCAGAATTTTCAGCAAAGATGATTTCCTGTCGCAAGAAGCTCATGGGTCTGTCTTTCCCTCGAGACCACTCTTCTGTTTTCAGAGGCAGAAGTCTGGTTTTTGCAGAGTGGAATGGCCACAAGTGAATTTTAAACAAGTTTCTGTAGAATACACATTGACACCCAGAAGTTTTCAGCGAAAATATCTTGCTGGCTGAACCTATGAGTCTCTTTTCCTCGAAACCAAGCTATCTGTGCTGTTTTGCTTTTAGGGGTAGACGTATGGAGTTTGCGGAGTAGAATGGCCACGAATTTCAAACAAGTTTCTGCATAATGAAACATCGACAACCAGAAACTTCTGGCGAAACCATCTTGTTGCCTGGGGCCATAATCCTTACTTCCCTCGAGACCAAGCTCCTTGTGCTTTTTTGCTTTTCGGACCAGAAGTGTGGTTTTTGAGTTTTATGTTTTTTCGCGAAGTTTGGGAGTCAAAAGTCTTAGAAAATGTCCTGTCGGATGAAACTCATGGGTCTGTCCTTCTCTAGAGACTAAATCCCTGTGCTTTTCTGCTTTCAGGGCAGAAGTACTGGTTTTTGCGAAGTAGAAGGGGCCGAAAGTTTCTGTGTAAATGTCCTGTTGCAAGAAGCTCATGGGTCTGTCCTTCTCTAGAGACTAAATTCCCTGTGCTTTTCTGCTTTTAGGGGCAGAAGCACTGGTTTTTGCGAAGTCTAGGAGGCCAGACGCCTTAGCGAAAATGTTTGTCGCATGAAGCCTCATGGTTCTGCCATTTTCTCGAGACCAAGCTATCTATACTGTTTTACTTTTAGAGGAAGAAGTGTGGTTTTTGCAAAGTAGAATGGCCAGAAGTAAATTTTAAGCAAGTTTCTGTATGATTATTGACACCCATAAACTTCTGGCGAAAATACCTTGCTGCCTGAAGCCAT